AGAGAAAACACAGATGAGCTGTGGCACTGCCGAGGGACAGGGAGCTGCAGTGGCTGTGTGAAGCAGGCTAAGGGGGCTGGGGCTCACCCCACCCCTCATCCCAACCCTCCCTTCCCTCAGGGCCCTGACCCAAAGCGGGCAAAGCACAGTGTCACTGCACAGTGTCACAGCACGCTGCCACAGTGTCACACACGGTGTCCCCACGTGGCCCAGAGCCACATCAGGATGCAGAGGGTGCCAGGTGGGTGTCCCCAGCCCCAGCAGGGGTCACAGTGCCCAGGGGGGGGATGCTGCCTCACCATGAGGAACTTGACCGCCGGCTGGTCCCGCTTCTCCTGGATCTGCGCAATCACCGTGTCCAGCAGCGACTGCCTCTCCAAAACCCTGGACTTGTATTCATCGCTCTTACTGACCAGCTCCTGGGACATTTGCTCCAGCTGGGCCACCAGGATCTTCTTCTGCTCCTCCATGAACTGCTGCAGGTCCTTAAAGGTCTCAGGCACACGCTGCAACTCCCACGTCACCGCCGTCTGCAAGGCACCACAAGGAGGCCCTGAGCCCACCCAGCCTCCAGCTGCCTCCACAGGGACACAGCTGCTGCACACAGAAGGGGACCAGAGGTTTTGTACAGGAAAAGCAGGAAGAACAGAGAGAGGGGTGGCAAATCTGGATCTTGATGGGCCCAAGGAGGCCATATGAGTTGGACAGAGAAAAGAACGTTGGCATAGATTAGAAGTAAGTATATATGGGGAGAGGGAAAGATGGGATATTCCTGGGGAGCCATGTGGGTGAGCAATGGGGGCATGGAGAGGAACACGCACCAGCAGCTTATCACTTTTCTGGTCTCCACTGCTCTTCAAGTATTTCTTGTGTTCTTGTAAAGAAAGCAGGTTTTTCTGGAGTGTCTCCTAAGACAGGGATTAAAAAAGAGCGTTTTTGGTAATTTTGGAGTAATATTCACAGGAGGGAGATGATGTCACCAAACAACCCCTGTGGGGACAATCTCAGTCTGGGGAGTCACTGGGGGTGACCCCTGAGTGTCTGGGAGTGAGTTTTGAGCTCAGAGGCAGCAGCCACCTCTCCAAAATCACTTCAGTCAGGCTCGGGAGATCCCCATCCACAGCTCTTATAGCCAGAAACATTTCCGGAATAACTTCATGTAGAAACCCCAGAGTTTGTGGTTTTTAAAAATGTTTTTTAATTAGAAAAAACAACTTTCAAAGTTGGAAGTGGGATTTCTGGGAAGAGGTTTCTGGTGACAGCAGCAGGGACTCAGACATGCCCCATAAATTTGCTGGAGTATTAAAAAACTCCTCATGCTCTGAGTCATCTGCGTTGCACTGAGCTGAGACCCCAGCCCACACTGAGTGGGAGAAAGCCTGACTGGGGACATCTGGGGCACAAGGGACCATATGGGGACACAGAAAGAGGGACCTGGGCTCCTGCATGGGCTGGGGCCAGGCGGTGGGAGAACCAGCAGCCCCAGCAGGGCGGGGTACAGGACCCACACCGTTCCCAGCCAGCTGCCAGCTGAGGCCGCAGGTCTGTGGCTGGCCAGGGACACACCCTAACCTGCGTGTGGAGGGAACAGACCCGTGCTCTGAGTGAAACCCAGACTCTGCTCAGAGCAGACCCACCCATGCATGACCCAGACCCATACCCAGAGGAGCTCATGCCCAGAGCAGACCCACCCATGCATGGAGGGGACCCAAACCCATACCCAGAGGAGCTCATACCCAGAGCAGACCCACCCATGCATGGAGGGGACCCAAACCCATACCCAGAGGAGCTCATGGCCAGAGCAGACCCACCCATGCATGGAGGAGACCCAAACCCACACCCAGAGGAGCTCATGGCCAGAGCAGACCCACCCATGCATGACCCAGACCCATACCCAGAGGAGCTCATACCCAGAGCAGACCCCAGACTGCCCTTGATGTGTGCCCGGCCAGGACACTGAGCAATGCCCACAGAGCACCCCAGCCCATGCTGGAGGGGACCCCAACCTGTGCCCCTCGGCCCCCCAAGCCCCCAGCCCCTCTCGCAGCACCGCCCCGTACCCGCAGCTCCCGGGCGGCCTCTTCGGCGGGGCGCAAACGGTGCAGGCGGTGCTCGGGCCCGTCCCGGCAGATCGCGCAGAGCAGGACGGCACAAGGCTCGCAGAACAACGCCAGGGGCTTACCGTGCTGGGGACACCGCGGCCACACCGCCACCTCCCCCAGGGAGCGGACCGCCTCCGCCACATCGCCCAGCGAGCGGTTGGGGCGCACGGAGCCCGGTGGCACCGGGGCGCGGCACTGCGGGCAGGCGGCGGAGCCCACCAGGCAATGCTGGCAGAAGCTGTGCCCGCACGCCGTGAGCACGGGCTCCCTGAACAATTCCAGACACACCGAGCAGGTGGACTGGAACAACAGCCGCTCCCTCAGAGCCAACACCTCCTCAGCCATGGCCGCGGCGGCGGGAAACGCACGGAAGGGGCCGGGACCGGGCTGGGGCCGCGACCCCTCCGGGGGCGGAGCTGACCGGGGTGCCGCGGGAACGAACCGGGCTGCGAGGCCGGGAATGCGCTTGTGGGAGTGTGTGTGAGTGCGTGGGAGTGTCCCCGTCTCTCTCTGGGCATATTCCTGTCTCTCACAACACGCACACGCGTGTCCGTGTCTGTGTGTGCAAGCAGGGGAGGAACGAGCAGGAAAACCCCGCGGGGGACACGGGCACGGGGCTCGCTGTGTGTGCCCAGCAGCGGCCACGGAAGGGGAGGGCTGGGATGAGTGTGAATGTGAGTGTGAGTGTGAGTGTGAGCGTGAGTGTGAGCCTTCATCCCAGCCTTCCCCCGGGGCGCAGCACCCGCGGATGCTCGGGATGCTTACATTAGTTTAATCGTTAATAACTTGGCACGAGGCGGGGAGCTTTGCCCTGGCCCGACCCAAAACCAAGCCCCTGTATTCAGCTGTCGGTTCTGCTCCTCCTCCACCCTCATGTGCTGCCAGCCGGGGCCCAAGAAGTGTTTTGGGGGACACCATCCACCCCCTGACACAATAAAGCAGTCTCCAGGCACTTAGTGCCATGCCATGGCTGTGCCCTCCTGAGTGTCCCTGCCCCAGTGGGTCCCAGGCCCTGGGCCAGTGGCTGTGACAGCCCATGGCTGCCAGCCCCATGGCCACTGTCCCTGCAGCAGCCAGGGGTGACAGCCTGATGTCCCCACTCATCTGGGGCGCTGCCCAGGGGTACACTGCCCATCTGACATCCAGGTGGGCACAGCAGTGGCTCCTGCTCATCCCCTGTTCCTGGAGCTGCTTTCTGGGTGCATCTCTGTCCAGTTCTTCCAGCAACCCAGGCCAGGGAAGGCTGGGTGAGTGTCACTGGCCCAAGCTGCAGGACAGGAGCTGTTGAGTCCGTGTCCCAGCATGGGACAATGCTGTCAATTGCCACCACCCAGGTTTTCAGAGTCGCTGCCACCTGCACTCAGTTGTCCCACTGGTACGGGAGATATCCCTGCAGAGGGATTGGCGACATTTGAGCTGCTGAAGGTCACTGGGATGTTGTTAAATCTTGGCAGTGTCCAGTGACCAAGGCTGTTGGAGCTGTGTGTGGTGGGTGAGGAGCAACACGAGGGGCTGGAGCTGCTCTGTGGGGCCCAGTGACACAGAGCAGGGCACTGCCAGCCTGGCCACACCAAGGTCCTGGCACTGCAGGGGACAGCCAAGCTAGTACAGGCACCTCAGCTGTTCTTTTTGCCAATAAAAAGCTGAATTCATCAATTTTTAGGAAGAAAAAGGATTCTGCCAGGTCCGTGTCGCTGCCAGTGTGACAGAGACAAGCCACTGAGAACCAAAATCAGTTCTGCTTTTCATTTCCTCCTTCCCCATACTTGCATTCAGTCCTGGTGAGGGGGATGCAGAGAGGCTGCTGAGGGACACAGGGCTGCAGCCAGGCCCTCCTGTCCTGCCCCCACACCTCCCTCCCAGCACAGCCCCATCACAACACTTTTCATAGAATCCCAGAATGGTTTGGGTGGGAAGGGACCTCAAAGTTCATCTTGTTCCACCTCCTTTGAAGGGCAGGAACACCTCCCACTATCCCAAGTTGTTCAAAGCCTCGTCCAGCCTGACCAACTTCCAGAGATGGAAGTTCAACTCCTGTCAGACAGCATGCCCTGACCCAAAACCCCAAACTTCTTCCAGGGAGTTGCAAGCACCACCCCAGCAGTGGGAAGGCAGGAACCTGGCAGGAGCCTGCCCTGGCAGCCCCAAAATGCTGCCACCCACAGCGATGACCAGCTGGTGGCTCTCAGCAGCTCCATGTGGCTGCACTGCCCTCTGGAACATTCTAGCACCAAAAAGGCCGTAAATCCCATCTTAGGAGGGGTTCATACACCAGGTCCTGTGTGAGGACTTTGGTTCTGCAAAGGCATTAACAGGTCCTGACAACTTCTCCCATCATCGCTCTGTTTATTGATGCCACTCTCCAAGGAGAGATCTGACAGCACTGGGAAGGAGCCTGGCATGCTCTGGGGAGCTGGTGCCACCAGCCCAGCCCCAGCTGGTGTCACCAACCCAGCCCCAGCCCAGCCCTTCAGATGGTTCTCACCCAGCCCCAGCCCAGCCTCAGGAGCTGCAGGCAGAACAAGCTGGGATCCCCAGGAACAGAACTGGTACAAACAGGAGCTCAAACCAACAGCAGGGAGATGGATTGTGTCCCACCCACCCCAGCAGCAGGTGCCCAGGAGCAGGGAGGTCTTTCCTTGGAGCCAGCCTGGAGCTGCTCCTCCCCTGGGCAGAAATCCCACCGCTCCTGCCACTGAGGAGCGCGTGCTCGAGGCCACCGGCAGCGGCTCAAGGACAGCAGAGCAATAAACACAACAAGGTCTTGCTCTCGGTCCCTGCTGACCCCACAGCACCCCACGGCCAGACCCACAGCACCCCATGGCCTCGGGCCAGCCCCCAGCAGGAGGAATGGTGTTAAGAGGAGCTTTGCAGAGGGGTCCTAGCAGAAAAAGGGTCTTTTACTGCAACTAGAATTTTATTCTATTGTATAATTCAGGAGTGCATCACAGCCCCGCGAGCCGGGCAGGCACCTATCAGCGCTTCCAATCTAGACACACGCAGAACTTCCTCATCAGCTGCATCTGTTAATTACTCACCTCCCCCCGGCTGGAGCTCCTCCTGTCACATCCAGCCCAGACGAGGCAGCACCTCCACAGAGCTCCTGGACAAAAAGTGACTGTGCCAGAATCAGCCTACAGAGCAGTTAACAAAAGAAAACAAAACAAACAAACAAAAAACAAAACCAAAAATAAAATCTTGGCCATCCTAAGGTTGCTTATCAAATAAAAAGTTCCTCCACATTTATTAAAAAAAACTGAACAGTAGATTTAAAAAGCAGTTACGAGTCCTACTCCGGCAAAACACCCTGTGTACAGGTTTCTTTTGTTGGTGGTTTGTTTGCTTGTTGGTGAGGACTCCCCCTAAATCAGCTGCTTCTGTTAATTTCATATATATATAATCTTTTAATTTTGCCGCGCGTTGCTTGCTTTAATTCATTAATTTATTTCCAATCAGCCGAGTCTCCACCAGACCAGCGGCGCTACCACACAAAGCTTCCTTGATGTCCATGCCCTGAGCCGGGGTGGGGGGAGACGGATGGAGGGAGGGTGCGAGAGATCAGTGGAGGAGAAGGAGGACAAGGAGGATGGGAGGGATGGAGGGAGGGATGGAAGGAGGGAGGGAGAGGAAGCCTCGGCAGCCCCTCACTCTCCCATGTGCGTCCTCAGGTGGTACTTGAGCGACTGCTTGTAGCGGAAGCACTTGGTGCACTCGGTGCAGGGGTAGGGCCGCTCGCCGGTGTGCGCCCGCTGGTGCTCCAGGAGGTGATGCTTCTGCGTGAAGTTCTTGCCGCACTCGGTGCAGTGGTAGGGCCGCTCGCCCGTGTGGATGCGCTGGTGCTCCAGGAGGTGGTGCTTACGGATGAAACCCTTCCCGCAGACGGCGCAGGCGTGCGGGCGCTCCCGCGTGTGGATGCGGTAATGGTTGGTGAGCTTGGACTTCTCGCTGAAGGTCTTCTCGCACTGGCTGCACTGGTAGGGCCGCTCGCCGGTGTGAGTCCGCTGGTGCCGCAGCAGGTGGGAGGGCCGGGTGAAGTTCTTGCCGCACTGGGGGCACAGGAAGGCCATCTCGTTCTTGCCCGCGTGGATCCTCTGGTGCATCAGCAGGCTGATCTGCAGGCGGAAGCTCCTCCGGCACTCGCCGCAGGTGAAGGGCCGCTCCCCGACGTGGGTGATCTGGTGTTTGCTGAGGCTCGACTTGTGGCTGAAGCTGCTCTCGCACTCGGAGCACTTGTAGGGCTTCCCCGGGGGCGGGGGCCGCGCCGGGGGCTTGAGGCCGTGCTCGGGGCGCCGCGGGACCCCCACGCCGCGGCGCGTGTGGCTGCGCTGGTGCAGCAGGAACTGCTGCTTGTTGCGGAAGCTGAGGTCGCACTCGTGGCACTCGTAGGGCCCTTCCTTGAGGTGGTTGCGCTGGTGGATCATGAAGTTGATCTTGAGCATGAAGCTCTTCCCGCACTCGGGGCAGATGTAGGGTCTCTCCCGCGTCCGGTTCCGCTGCTGGCCGCTGGCTGGTTTCATGTCCCCGGAGTCCCTCTCGCAGGCCGATGGCTTCCTGACGCGGGCGGCCAGGCCGCGGGGCTGCGCCTTGGAGCTGCACTGCGCCTCGCAGCCCAGCCCGGCCTCGTGGCCGGGGAACGCCGGCGCCTCGCTCCGGCCCGAGAACATGGCGCACGGCTCCAGCGTGTCGGGGTCATCCTCCTCCTCCTCCTCCTCCTCCTCCGTCTTGATCACGATCCCATCCTCTGAGGGGGAAAATCGAACGGCGTTAGGGTCATCAGGTGGGACGGGGTGGCCTCTTATACCCCTGGGTGCTACAGAAACACCTGTGTGGTTCCTGCAGCCTGACCACCCGGACACGAGCTGGCTGCAGCTGGAGCCCGGAGCGCTGGGATGGGCCATGTGTCCCCAAACATGGAGTTGAGACAAACCAGCCTGGCCAGGCTCTCTGCTAAAAGGTTTGGCAACTCTGCGCAGCTGCAGGATGTGGAGGGTAAAAACACCATGGGTTCACCAGGGCTCGGGCAGCCGAGTGATTTCAGAGCAGCTCCATCTGCTGCCGTTTCACTGGGCTGCAACAACACTGCTCGCAGAAACAGCTCTGGGCTGGTGGCTCTGCTCCGGGGACAGCACAGCCTGCCTGGGACTGTCCCCTTCCCTCAGCCCCACTGCCATGTGGCATGGTGAGAGACCCACCCCTCTCCTTCCCAGAGCACCCAGCAAGAATGGGAAGGATCAAGAGCGGGATGGAATGGCAGTGGGATGGATGGCAGCAGGCCAGGCTCCCCTTCGTGTCACCAGGGCCGGAAGTGAGCTGGGGACTTTGTTTGGTGACAACAGCCATCCCAGGGACACACGGCAGGACACACGGCCAGCACGGCCCAAGGAGAGGCCCACAGGGCATCCCTCATGTCACCCCACACTGGCCTGTGAGCCAGGCCTAAATACTCTCTCAGCAAGAGCAGCTGCAGTTTCCCAAGAAAAGGAAACCGATGGGAGTGGATGTCTCAAAGCCATGGCCCTCTTCCCTCTGAGGAAGGGAAAACCCAGGTCCTTCTCCCTGTCCCCTCTATGGACCTGGGGGTCAGTCCCCATCCTGGCCAGCACAGCCACAGCTCCTGCCCAGCCCCACCAGCCAGGCCCTGTGCCCTGGCAGAGGCAGCAGCTCTCGGACAAGGATCAGCTGCAGCCTCACTGGTGGCTTGGCTGGTTTCCCTCACAAAGCCTTGGGCAGACCACAGGACCCACAAGATGGAGTTGAGGCCCTCAAGAGCCCAACTCTCTGTGTCTCTGTTTGTGTAACACCACCACAAAGCCGTCAGGAGGAAAGGAACCCACCATTCCCACCCTCTCGTCTCCCTGCTCTCCCATCCCCAGCCTTACAGCACATCTGTAGGACTTGGCCTGTATCTGCCACTCCACCAGCAGAATTCTACACACGAAACACTCAGTGCCATCATCTCATCTCTCCACAAATCACCTCATCCTTCCCCTTCCCTCTTGGCAGCTCGCAAATCACAGAGCTCCAGCCACATTCTTCCCTATCCTGTGGAGCTGCCCTGAGCAACTCCCACGCCTGGCAACCTGCAGGACCTCCCACGCTCCTCTAGCAGTGTCCAGTGTGCAACCACCCACTCCTCCACACCTCACACAACCTCGTGCCCTCTGCCACAGCAGGGTTTTGGGAGCAGGGCTCACTGGGGCCCTCAAAGAACACTGCCTGAGACACAGCTTCACTTGGTCTCCATGGGTAACTTTTCCCAGAATTAGAGGACTGGGCCAGTGCTCGCTCTGCTCCTGAGCAGGACAGGAGCCCTCAGACACCATGGATGTGTTGCCTCCTCCTCCAAGCTCAAGGTGTGACCAGAGCCACTCTTGGAGTTCTCTACAGCCAGAAACTTTCCTTCTGGTGCTGGTTCTGGGGAGGGATTTAACTCCTCCTGTCCATCCAACCCCTTCCCCACCTTGTCCTAAGCCACCACAGCCCCCCCAGGGCCACACCACGTGTCCCGAGCAGCTCACCCGTGCAGCTCCCGTGGTGAACGATGACCCTCTGGATCTCGTTGTAGTCGGCTCCGTACTCGGAGGAGTCACCCAGGCTGGTCCCCGGGAGGTCCCTCGGTGGGGACACGGAGCCGTAGGGGCTCTCGCAGGCCGCCTCCTCATCCGGGCTCTGGAAGCTGCCCTCGGACTGCCCCGACATCCCGTGCAGCTCGGGGTTCTCGGGGCTGTCTTCAGGAAGGAGCTCCTCCGTTTTGATCACAACCCTTATTCCAGCTGCAGCAATGAGAGATTCCCACCAGCCGTCACTCCCAGGAGTCAGGACAAAGGACCTGCTCCCAGCAATCCCTGCCAACTCCAGCTGCTGGTCCCACTGAGGGTTTCATCTGCTCGGCCTCTTCTGCTCTCCCTTCAGCCTCTGCCCTCCACCCATCCCTGCCACGCTCCCAGCTCCAGCCCAGGACCCTTCACAGGCACAGGGAACTCACTCTACTCAGCCCAGGACCCTTCACAGGCACAGGGAACTCACTCTACCCAGCCCAGGACCCTTCACAGGCACAGGGAACTCACTCTACCCAGCCCAGGACCCTTCACAGGCACAGGGAACTCACTCTACTCAGCCCAGGACTCTTCACAGGCACAGGGAACTCACTCTACCCAGCCCAGGACTCTTCACAGGCACAGGGAACTCACTCTACCCAGCCCAGGACCCTTCACAGGCACAGGGAACTCACTCTACCCAGCCCAGGACCCTTCACAGGCACAGGGAACTCACTCTACCCAGCCCAGGACCCTTCACAGGCACAAGGAACTCACTCTACCCAGCCCAGGACCCTTCACAGGCACAGGGAACTCACTCTACCCAGCCCAGGACCCTTCACAGGCACAAGGAACTCACTCTACCCAGCCCAGGGCCGTGGTGCCACAGCTCAGCACCCCTTGGCCACCCCACATCCCCCAGCTGCAGTTCCCCGTGGGCCCGTGATTTTCTCCTTCCCATTGGCCTTAAGGTAATTTCAAGATCCTTGTGATGGAAAGCACAAGCAGGGTGTTGGTGTGACCCCACATCCACAGCCTGGAATCAGGGATGACGAGTGGAGGTGCCACCATTTCTTCCAGGCCACCTCCTTATCTCCTTATCAACCCTCTTATCACAGAGCAGGAGTTGCTCTGGGATTTGGGATCACTGGTGCCCCATTCCCAGCCCAGTCCTGGCCCTCACCATCCATCTCCCTGCACACAGCCTGGCACCAGACTTCCCTGCCCGGGAAGATGTTCCAAGGATAAACCCAGGCACCATCCACACAAAGAGAGAGTGGGGAGGATTTTCTGGGTGGGTGGGCTTTCCCAATGGGACCTGATTCTCCTTCCTTGCTGGGCACACCAGCTCCCTGAGGACCTGGTCTGGTTGCAGATGCTTCCATTGCTGGGAAGGGCTCCCACTGACAACTCTCCGGGCTCTGCTTGCCCTGGTTTCTATGTTGAACTGCACCTGGACATCAAACCTCCAATCAGCCCAATTTATCCCATTCCTAGGCAAGGCTTCTCCTGATAAACCACATCAGCCACAGCTTCCAGCAACATCTGCTTCAGCCTTGGGAAGAGCAGCTGCTGGGGACACAACCAGGGCTGCCCTGGTGCCAAGGTGCCGCCTCACCTGCCGTGGCATCAGTAATGATCTCACTCTCCTCCAGGTCCTGCTCATTCCTGCCCCGGGATTCCTCCCCTTGCTCGATCTGAGACAAAACACCAGGTTTGGAAATTGCATAGTCTGTTGAGAGACAGAGGGGTGGGAGAGAGGGATTACTGCACTGGGAATCTGATTTATCGGCTTCCACCTCTTCCCAGTGCATGCAGGACACGTGAGGACACTCGGGAACACCCACGGGTGCAAAATCCTATGAAGGGGTGCATGGGCTGGTACCCACTGCAGACCCAGAAGACGCAGGGAGGCCCTCCCAACAGCCATGGGGAAGGAAGGAGCTGGTTTTTGATGGCATAACTGTGGCTGGAAGAGGTTTGGGAGGTCTCCAGCCCACCTGCCCACAGGGCATCCCTCACCCAGCCAGCACACCACCGCAGCATGAGCCAAAATAAACCCAGACTGAAAACATCCTCCTGTGTTTTTCAGCCTTTGAAATGGGACATTTGGGTCTCATCCAAGGGGATCTCCAAGGAGGAGCCAGCAGCAGCCTCCTGTCCCTCAGCAGGGCGAGGACACCCCGTATTTACCCAGGGAGATCAGAGACTCGTAGTTCCCCTTCATCACGTTCTTGTACAGCTCCTTCTGCCACTCCTCCAGCTTCTCCCATTCCTTGTCATTGAAATAGACGGACACGTCATCAAAGGTCACCGGCACCTGCAATTCCAACACAGCTTCAAGCAGGAGCCTGGACACAGCCAGGCTTCAGCTCCTTCAAGGCCATCAGTGAGCTGCTTTTTGCATTTAAAACAATTCCAGGGCAGGTATTTCTTTGGGAATAAAGGACTCAACCAAACGGATGGTTCCTGGTGATGAATCCATACTGGGATTTCCCCAAAGAACCCCGAGCTCCTCCTCTCAGTCCCTGCTCTCTGCAGGGTGATCAGGCTTGAGGGACCATAAGGGAGAGAAAACCCAGGAGATGGGCTGGACTCATCCCTATTGATGAGCTGACGTAACTCCCAGATTCAATTACCCCAGAACTCCAGGGAAAACTCTACCCGGGCCCACAGGGGCCCCCATTGTCCCTGGTTACTGTGTGCCCACCATCTGCAGCTTCCCAGCTTGTTAGCCAAGGAATAATTCTTAAGGATAAATTCAGGATGTGCAAACTGAAGTAGAGCTCTTCAGAGAAAACGCAGCACTCCAGTTCTGTCCCCCAACTGCACTAATGGGGTGTCAGGGTCTGAACCCACCTTTTCCTGATCCTCTCTGCTCTCTCCAGAGATACTCCCTCTCCCATGTCCTACGTGGTCTCATTTGCACACTCTTTTAGCAGGAAGGTTGTGAAATTCAAGTAGGAACTGAATATTGATGGTGGGCTCTTTCCAGAGCTATGCCCAGGGAGCTCATCTGCCTTCCTGAATCTCAAAGCTTCCCCCTTCCCTGCAGAAGCAGCTCCCACTTGTGCCTTCCCTGGCCTGGGAGACTCTGCAGCGTCAGGGTGGTCAAAACAGAAGAACCACAAAATCTGCAGGGTTTCTAGAAACGGTGGCAAAAAAAAAAAAAAAATGAAGAAAAAAAGAGTCAATGGCCCCAGGGCTGTGCAGCGCAGTGGAGCAGAACTGAAACCTCTGGCCTGAGTACCAGGATGTCCTCCCATGCCTCTGTCCCACCGTATTTTAGCCCCAGCAGGGGATGAGCTGGGAAGCTGCAGTGGACACCTGCAACAGCGAGAGACTCACCTGAGCTGGGGCTGCCCCTGTTCACCCACCCCGGACCTGCCCTCCGGGAGCATTTCGGGCTCTCACACCACAGGACACCGTTACCTTGGGCACTTCCCCCTTCCTGCCCGGGGGCAGCCGCAGGATCCAGAAGTTCCTGTTCTTCAGGAGGTTCTCCATGTTCTCCAGGCGCCGCTGGAGCAGCCCGTACTCCTGGATGAGGGTGCCCAGCGCCGTGCACTTGCTCTCCAGCTGGTTCCCCAGCTCCGCCGCCGTCTTCTCACAGTCGATCAGCTTCTTCTCCGCCATCCCCGTCCGACCCTCCAGGTCCAGCAGGCGGGTGGAATGGGAATCCACCTTGCGCTCCACCGCCTGCACGGCCGCCACCACGGTCAGGGACAGCTCTGCCGTCTGCGTCTCCCGCTCCGAGGTGCGCTCGGGGCCGGCCGCCGGCCGGAGGGGCGAGGGGCAGCGCGGCGGCCGCACCGGCTCCGGCGCCTGCGGACACAAGGGCGCGGGGTCAGGGCGAGGGATCCCCCGCACCCTCCCGGGGCGATAGAGACCCCCGCCCCCGGTGTGACAGGAGCCCCCGGGGCGATGGGACATCCCCGGGGCGATGGGGACACCCCCGGGGCGATGGGGACACCCCCGGGGCCATGCGCACTCTGCTGGGGGGGGGGCACTGCGGGGCCCAGCGCTCGCCGGGGCGGCGGGGACGTCCCCGTGTCCCCGCTAAGCCGCTTACGGCGGCCCCGTGCCGGTCCCACGGGCCGGGCAGGACTCGCCGCGGCGGGGGTGGGGGGAGGTGACAAGGGCGGGGGGGCGCGGGGTGACACGGGCCGGCCGAGCCCCGTTGCCATGGGCACGGCGAGGGGACACCCGGGGGGCTGCGGGCGCCCCGTCGCCATGGGGACCGGGCGGTGACACGGGAGGGGGGGGCGGCGGCGGGTCGGTACCGGCGGTGGGGGGGTGCGGCGGGGCGGTCGGGCAGGCCCGGCCCCGACGGCAGCGCGGGCGCCGCCGGCCGCGGAGGCCCCGCCGGGCTCGGCGCGGCGCCGCCGCCCCCCCGGGGCCGCCCGTCCCGTCCCCGCCCGTCGGCCTGGGGGGGCGGCCGCGGCCCCGCGCGGTGACAGCGCCCGCCGCCCGCCGCGCCCCCCCCGCCCGCCGCGGCCCCGACGGCGCGGCCCGTGAGCCCCGACGTGCGGCCCGCCAGCGGCGGGCGGGCGGTGCGCGGCGGGCCCGGCCCCGCGCCGGGCAGGCGCCCTTTACCTGAGCGGGGGCCCCCTCGGCCATGGCCCTTTGTTCCGTGCCCGGGGCCCCGGGGGCCGCGGCCGGGAGGATCCAGCGCCCGCTCGCTGCTTCACCTCCGCCCGCCGCCGGGCATCGGGCTGGGCGCGGGGCGGCGCGGCGGGGCGGGGGCGCGGCGGGGGCGGGGCGGAGGCGGCGCGGGCCTGGCGGGCGGAGGCGGCGGGGCGGGGGCGGCGGCGGCGGCTCCGACACCGAGCGCGGCTCCGGGTCCGGGTCCGGGTCCGGCGCTCCGGCCGCGCCGCTGCCCCGCCGCGCCGCCGGGGGGCGCTGCCGCCGCCGGACCGCGCGCGGAGCGGGGCGGAGCGGGGCGGGCGCGCGCCGAGCAGCGCCCCCTGGCGGCCCGACGGCATCAGCGCCCCGCCCCGTCGGGGCCCCCTCACGGCACCGCCCGCACCGGGAACCGGAGGGAACGGGGGGAACCGGGGGATTGTGGGGGGCTCGGGGGGACATGGCGGGGCAGGGCAGGGACCGGCGGGTCACCGTGGAGGCCCCGGGGCAGCTTTTCCGGCCCCGCCCGTCGGGTCCCCACCGCCCATCCCTGCGGGCTCGCAAATGGCGGCCGGAGGCGGTGGCGCCCTGGAAATGGAGCGACCCCTCCGCACCCACCGCCTCCCCACACCCCATCCCATCCCATCCCGTCCCGTCTGACATCATCCACTCCTATTCTTTCCCACTCCATCCTGTTCTGTCCTGCCCCATTCTGTCTATCCCACCACGCCCTGTCCCATCCATGCCCTCCTGTCCCACCCCACCTGCGCTGTCTCTCCATGCCCCACTCCATACACACACTGTCTGATCCCATTCTGTCCCATCCCATTCCATCCCCTTCCATGCTGTGTGTCCACTCTTGTCCCATCCAGTCCCACCCTGTCCATCCCACATCTTGTCCCATGACATCCCATTCCATGCATGTCTCATCCATTTCTGTCCCATCTCATTCCATTCATCCTGTCCCACTGTATGTTTCTGTATCCCATCTGCCCTGCCCTATCCCACCCCATTCCCATCTCATCTCCCCAGTCCCATCCCTGCCTGCTCTGGCACAGCCCTGGCACACCCTGGGGGGGACGCTGGTGACACTGAGTACAAGGAAGGGCAGGAAATCCTTTTTGTTTGTGGGAAAAAGGGAGAGGACACGTGGGATGGGTCACCCGGGCTTGGGGGAGGACAGGGGTGTGACAGCAGGTGGGGACCCCCAATTAAAGACGCCCTGTCCAGGCCCCTCTTGGGCTGTCCCAGGGATTCACAACCCCTGTCTGGGGCTGATCCATTGGGAGGGGACACCAGGAGCAGCTCTGGGATGGAGGGAGTTCCCTGCCTGGGGTTTGTACACCCCAGTGCAGCGGGAGTGTCTGACCCCAGCTGAGGGAGGCCCCACACTGTCACAAACCACCCCACATCTCCAGCACCTCCATGCCCACATGGGGCAGCCCCATTTCATGGAGTGGTTTGAGTGTAGGGGATACACTGGGGTCACTCAGAGTGTGTGGGGATTCACTGGGGTCACTCAGAGCATGGGGGGACTCACTGGGGTCACTCAGAGCATGGGGGACTCACCGGGGTCACTCAGAGTGTGTGGGGATTCACTGGGGTCACTCAGAGTGTGTGGGGATTCACTGGGGTCACTCAGAGCATGAGGGATTCACTGGGGTCACTCAGAGCATGAGGGATTCACTGGGGTCACTCAGAGCCTGGTGGATTCACTGGGGTCACTCAGCATGGGGGATTCCATGATCCCAGCTCCCAGGTGACCACAGCCACCAGAACTTCTCCCTGTCCCTAATCCTGGTGTGGGATATCCCAGCTCCATCCCACCACGGATCCAAGGGTTCCTCAGCTGTTTGTGGCACAGGCTGGCTCCCAGAGCACAACCCCAAATCAAGTTAAAACCACCAACCCCAGATGCAGCATCCCAGAGCAGCCTCGTCTGGGCTTGTGCTGTTCACCTGCTCCACAATTCCCTGGAAAAGCTCCCAGCCAGGAGCAGGATGAGGGAGCTGCAGGTACCCGCCAAGGGCTGACACGGAGTTCAGAATGGAAACACTGTATTGACAGACTTTACAAAAGTTATTACAAAACACGGTCACGAACCAGCAGCTGACGATACAGAGCGAAGAGACACTTACAGCCACCTCAGAACAACACCAACAGCTCCAGAAGTCATCCAATATTTACACAAACGGCTGGAAAACTCCGGGCGGTTATCGCATACATGGAAGTGTTTTAGAGCAACTGTGAAATATAGTGTCACACCTTTCCTTGTAGTATTATCATCATCATAATTAATAATAATAATAATAATTAATAATAATAAGACTACTTCTAGGTTAACTAAAAACCAAACAGCTCTTTACAGGGGTTAGGAGAAGCTGCTTTCACTCGTCTGACTTACCTGAGTGAGACCAAACCCAGTTAAAAAATAATAATAAAATCACCTTCATTGTCAGGAGTCTGCGTGTCGGCCCAGCGGCGCCGTTCCCTCGGGCCAGAGGGGAACCACAGCCCGGCTGGTGCCAGTGACACCCTTGCAAAGAACGGAGACGTGTCCTCCTGGTGTGAGCGACCCAGCGCGCCTCCAAACGCTGCCCTTCCCGACTCCTCCTGCTCCAAAGTCCTCAGCCCCTTCTCCTGCACTTGCTTCATCTCACCCCGCTCCTTGCCACGCTCTCCTCTCCGCTTTTCCGCCTTCCACAAATCCCGCGTCGTGCCCTGACCGCCTCTCAGCCTCTCCTCTCCTGCCCTCCTCCCAAATCCTGGCCTGGCAGCCTTTCGGGACACGGCGACGCAGCGGGAGCGGGCGGCCGGCCGGGAACAGCACCGTCCTTCCCTCCCTCCCTCCTCGCGCTTCCAGCCTTGCAGTGAAACGAGTGGAAAAAAGAAAGCGAAAGCTTGTCACTCCTGAATATGCACAAAGATAGGTGGGGGAACACCTGCTAAATACGGACCCCAGAGAATCGCTCGGGATTATTCTCTACGGGCAGAATCCAACCCTGCGTAGGGAACAGCGAGCACGGGGCCTGCGCCGCGGTGGGAGCGCCACGGAACCCTGCGGGGTCCCAGAGCTGCCTGGGCTGGCCGAGCAGAGTCTTTTAAGAGGAATTCCTTGGATGCTTCACCAAAGCGGGCTTCGTAGCATGACCACACGGATTAGCTGCGATACAAGTCACCTGCCATCATGCTGCACGTCCACCTGCCAGACCGTCACGGTCACCGCGAGCCCTCCTGCCCCGGCCCCACCTCGGCTACTGCTTAGTCTCTTTTTTCACGCAGAAGTGGTCGCTTTGGGTGCCTGCCGGGCCCAGGTTGTGCTGGGAATCCTCCCCGGGCCGCGGGTTGCGGGAGTGGATTTTCTGGTGGCAATTCAGGGACTCTTTGTAGCGGAAGTGCTTCCCGCAGACGGGGCACTGGTAGGGGGTCTCCCCGGTGTGCACCCGCCAGTGCTTGAGCAGGTGGTCCCGCCGGATGAAGCTCTTGCCGCACTCGGTGCACTGGTAGGGCCTCTCCCCGGTGTGGATGCGCTGGTGGCGGATGGCTTTGGAGAGGTCTCGGAAGTCCTTCCCGCAGTAGGTGCACGTCAGCGGCCCGTCGCCCTTCCCCGTGTGCAGCTTCTGGTGCAGGATCAGACTCACTTCCAGGCTGAAGCTCTCCTTGCACTGGGAGCAGGTGTAGGGCCTCTCCACCATGTTGTTCACCTGGTGCCTGACGAAGCCGTACTTGAATCCCGAGCTCTTCTCTCCGTCGGGGCGCTTGGACGCTTTGGAGCGCGAGGGGCCCTGGCCCTTGGCTTTGGATTTCTGCCGGAAGCTCTCGCCGCGCTCCAGGGACGTGCAGGCCTCGCTGGCGTGCGCCTTCTGGTGGGTGGCGAAGAGCTGCTTGTCCAGGAAGCTCTGGCCGCACTCGCAGCAGATGTAGGGTCCCTTGTCGGCCGCCGCCTCCTCGGGATCCTTCTTGGCCAAGTCTCTCCCGCGGCGCACCGAGCGCCTCAGCCCGTTGCCCGTCGCCGTTCGCTGTGGCGGCGGGGCCGACCCGCTCTGGCTCTTGCTGCTCGATTGCACCTCCTCCTCCGGGTTGGAGAAAACTTCTTCTTCCCACTTTCCTGCCAATGACCTGGAAAGCTCCAGGCTCTCGGAGCCTTCCTCATCGCACGGCTGTTCGTCTGGCGGAGCAGAGACACTCGTGTCATTCGGGGAGGCAAGGACTGGGGTGTTATTTACTCGGTTCTCTTGGGACACAGGTGGTGTCTGCTGTGCACACCCAGCTCAGAGCCTGGCACTGATGGGGCTGCGAGTCCGGCTGGGGGCACCTACTCTGTCCAGAGGTATTTTGACTCAGAATCTTGGAATTGTTGAGGTTGGAAAAGACCTCGGAAATTATTAAGTCCCAGCATTGCCAAGGCCACCCCGAACCATGTCCCCAAGTGCCACATCCACATGGATGTTACATCCCTCCAGCAATGGAGACTCCACCACTGCTCTAGGCAGTCCCAATGTGTAACAGCCCCTTTTGGGGATGAATTTTCCCAATATCCACCCTGAGCCTCACCTGGCCCAGTCTGAGGCCATTCCCTCTCCTCCTGTCCCTGTTCCCTGGAGCAGAGCCCGATCTCCCTGGCTGTCCCCTCCTGTCAGGAGCTGTGCAGAGCCACAAGATCCCCCCTGAGCCTCCTTTTCTCCAGGCTGAGCCCCCTCAGCTCCCTCAGCTGATCCTGTAGTTTCTGGACACACTGTGGCAACCTTCTGCTTTCAATTATATTGTAATACAATACAATATATATAATCTAGTTATAAATAGGTAGCCAGAGGAAAAACGAGTGTTCCTGAAACAGGACAGGTCTTTAAGAACTTGTGCTTTAGGATAAAGCCCAAGAACAGAGGAAAAAGGATAAAAGTTCCTCATGGGCTTGGACAGTGCCTGAGGGTGAAGGATCTCCCATGGTATAAACTGACTCAAAGCAACTTCCTGAAATTCTGGAAAAGAATCATCCAGAAAAACTGAGCAGCTCCTGGGAATTAGGCTGGGAAGCCAAAAGCACATCTAGGCAAGGGACACTTCCCAAAGCACTCACATGTACCAGGGACCTCCATGCTCTCCTCTTCCTCAGAGCCTTCGTGGCTTTCAGCCAGAGTCTCTTCATATTTACCCCATGAGCTGTCATCGGGCCCAGGGAAGAAAAACTCTGTGCAAGAGAAAAGAGCAGGAGTTACACTCCAACCTTCCAGCTGCTTTAGAGGATTCCAGGAGAGAGAGAGGCATCAGGTGGGAGACAAGTGGAAAAGCAAAGTCCCCAGTACCTGAGGAGAGAGCTGACAAAACAGAGTAACCCCACATCTGCATCTACCTGCCCCCCGAGTCCCAGGAATCTCACGGCTCACCAGTGCTGGGGTCCGTGGGGGTCTCTCCTCCCTCGGAGTCCTCCTGATCCTCAGCGTTGGGATCCTCCCCCTGCTCAATCCGTGTCAGCAGATCAGGCTTGGAAATGGCAGCGTCTGCACGTAAAAAGAGGATGAGAATGTTTCCCCTGCCCTGGTGGGAGAGCAACTCTGCAGCTTTTGCCCACCAACCTTCCTTCGCTGGGAAATGAACGAGAGAGGCTTAGGAAGCTGCTCTCAGCCCTCTGCCCCGCTCACCTTGCGTGGGCCCTGGATGCAGGAGCACGCTCTGCTCGGGTGAGGAGCACCTCCCAGCCTGCAGCGTGAGGAGGACAGTAAGAAAAGGCATCCAGGCTTACCTGCAGGCTCTCCTGTCTTCTCCTCTCCGCTAAGGTCCGCGGATCCATTACAATGGGGACTTCAGCTCGGGAGGCAGCAGCAGAGCTGCCAGCACTGCCCTCCCCGTGCGGTTCCCTCCAGCCAGGACCGCTCCGTCCTACTCCTCCGAGTCACGGGCTGCTCGCGGATTTTGGTGGGGGAAAGGGGACAATCACCATCTCTCCTCGGGCGGAGAGCAGAAAACTTCACTTCCAGACACGTGGGAGGCCCTGGGGGTTAAATTCCACCTCTCTCCGGTGGATCTGTTTGCTTTACACGGGAGCCAAACCCTAAACCTCGTTTCTCAAGGGAAACCTTGGGATGAAGCACAGCTACATCTCTCTAAGCTCCAGGCTCAGATCCCACATCCCCTGCAGCAGCAGGACAGCTGCGTTCCCATGCCTCAGGAGCAGGACACGGGACTGGTTTGAAAACAGGAGAATGGGGCTGTGGTTACCCTCCACCTTTCTCCCTGGCACACAGGGACTGCAGGAAACCTCTGTCCAAAGAAATAAACGGGGAAAAAATAGCAGAAAAGGCCTGGATTGGGCAGAGCTGGATGGCAGGGAGGCAGATGAGGCTGGACTCAGCACAGGGAAGTGTCTGGCTACCAGGGACGGCGTCTGCGCTCCCACCCCCGGCCCAGCCAAGGCAAGGTCATTTCTGGAACATGCTGTGAAGGCAACGTGTTCCCCAGAGGGATTCCAGCAGCCAGGACTGGCAGGAGCGAGCGGAGCGCGTTCCTTTGGCTGGGAATGCACTGCCCTGAGCTGCTGAGGGGAAAGCAGGAGGCAGAGCTCGCCCTCAGCCACTGCTTCTCCCCAGCTCTGCCCCAGCAGAGCCCACAGCACCTTGAGCAGGACTCGCTCCTTGGGGCTGGACAGAGCACCAGGCAAACGTCACTTCTCCCTCATGGGATAGGAAAGGGAATTCTGCACAACTCCCCACGGAAAGGGCTGGAAGGAACCTCAGAGGCAGGGCACAGGACACCCTCCGCTGCCCCAAGCAGCCAGCGGGCTGATGCACCCAGCGCAGTGGATCTGTGGACCTTGGCGTGACAAAGGAATTTCCCTCTTCCCCAGCTTTGCTTGGATTAAGGTGCTCTCACTTGCCCTCCTCACAATCCCAGCACTCGCTGGCCCGCAGGGACCATCAGGGAGCCACGTCCTTCCACCCTCAGCATGGCTGTGAGGGCTGAACTCACTGCCAGGGCTGTGGAACACCTCCCCAGAGCACACCACCCCCTCCCTGATCCTGCAGGACACACTGCTGCTTCCATCCAGCAGTTCCCAGGAAAACTCTGTGCCACGAGGCTGAGGGCAAACCCTGGCCCGTCGTTACCCATGGAGATGACGGCCTCGTAGTTGCCTTTCATGATGTGCCTGTAGAGCTCCTTCTGCCACTCGTTGAGGCTCTTCCACTCCTCCTCAGAGAAGTTAAACGAGGCGTCATTGAAGGCCACGGGGACCTGCAAGGAGCAGCACCACAGGGTTTGTGTCTCATTTAAGAAAACACCTGGGGACGTTTTCTTATTTGATTTTCTCGCTCAAACTCCTCAAGCGTTGTGCAGGCTGCTCCCAGGCAGGAATTTCTGCTCATTCCCACGTGTCTCATGCTCCTCATCCCTCAAGGGACACGACAGGGATTTCCCCTGTCACTCGTCTGTCACCTCCCTCTGCTCAGCCTCCTCTTGTCACAGGCGATGCCCCATGCACAGCTGCACAATGCCTGACACAGACTTGTTTTCACTTCCTTTTTGACACAATTCTTCTGCCCATCACCTCTGAACAGCCCCCAGGGATGTTCCCAAGCCTTCCCAGTTACACAGGGCTTAGCCACAAAATTCCACGTGATCCAAACACAGGAATTTGTGACATCCCTCCTAGATCACACGCACAGGAGTGGGGCATAACCAACACAGCGGGACCTGTGCTGGTGCTTCTGGGCACTGAAGGGAATACAGGGCTGTGGGGGAGCCATGAACTGCTCTCAGCACTGCAGCTCTCCCAAAATAGGACTGTGAGTGCAGGGACCAGGCTGCCACTGCAGGGATAGGGCTATCAGTGCACAGGACATGGGGCTGTCAGTATACACACGCTGGGGGCTGTGAGTTCACAGGAAATGGGGCTGCCACTGCAGGGATGAGGCTGTCAATGCAGGATATGGGGCTGTGAGCTCAGGATACGGGGCTGTGAGCGCAGGATATGGGGCTGTGAGCGCAGGATATGGGGCTGTACAGGGCATTGAGCTATGAAATTAGGATACAGGGCTGTGAGCGCAGGATATGGGGCTCTGAGCTCAGGATACGGGGCTCTGAGCTCAGGATACGGGGCTGTGAGTGCAGGATATGGGGCTGTACAGGGCATTGAGCTATGAAATCAGGATATGGGGCTGTGAGTGCAGGATACGGGGCTGTACAGGGCATTGAGCTATGAAATCAGGATACAGGGCTGTGAGCTCAGGATACGGGGCTGTACAGGGCATTGAGCTATGAAATCAGGATACAGGGCTGTGAGTGCAGGATACGGGGCTGTACAGGGCATTGAGCTATGAAATCAGGATACAGGGCTGTGAGCGCAGGATACGGGGCTGTGAGCTCAGGATATGGGGCTGTGAGCTCAGGATACGGGGCTGTGAGCTCAGAATACGGGGTTCTGAGCCCAGCATATGTGCAGAGTAGCCCCCTTTTGCATCAGGGAGCAGCAAACCGTTACCTTGGGCACTTCCCCTTTTGCCCCCGGGGGCAGCCGCAGGATCCAGAAGTTCCTGTTCTTCAGGAGGTTCTCCATGTTCTCCAGGCGCTTCTGCAGCTGCCCGTACTCCTGGATGAGGGTGCCCAGCGCTGTCCACTTGCTCTCCAGCTGGTTCCCGAACTCCACCGCCGTCTTCTCGCAGCCGATCAGCTTCGTCTCCGCCATCCTCATCCTACCCTCCAGGTTCATCAGCTGCGCGGCCTGCGTGTCCACCTTCCTGTCCACGGCCTGGATCTCGGTGACCAGCGTCAGGGAGATCTCGGCGGCCGGCAGCTCGGCCTCGCCGCCACCGGGAGGGCCGTGCTCGGGGGCGGGCAGCGGCTGCTCCAGGCCGAGCTCCTGGGGCTCCATCATGCACTCCAGCTCCTGAGGGGGAACGCGCGCCGGTCAGCGCGGGGACGCGCCCGCAGCCCGTGAGGGGAGAGGGCGGGGGGGGGGCGGGACGCGGGGCCGGGCGGGCCGGGGGGGCGGCGGCGCTTACCTCAGCGGGGGCCCAGTCGGCCATGGCGCGGGGGGCGGCGCGGGAGGTGCGGGCGGCGGCGCGGGCGGGCGGGCGGCGGGGCCGGGCGGCGGCGGCGGCGGCTCAGCAGCGGCGGGGCGGAGCGGCCATGCCGAGGGCGCGGGGCGCGCTGGGAGCGGCGGCGGCGGCGCCCGGCGCCACAGCGACCCCCGGCGGCGGGCGGACCGCGCGCCCATTGGGCGGCGGCGCGGCCAATCGGGGGGCGGAGCGCTCGGAGGGGGCGGGGCCCGGCGTCACGCGCGCTCCCGCCGCCGGTAGCGGGGCCGCGCGGGGCGGCGGCGGCACCGGGCGGGACCGAGCGGGACAGAACGGGCAGGAGGGAACAGGACGGGGGTAGGGACAGGGACAGGTGCGGCCCCTCCACCGGCCTCCACGGGCACCGCCGACATCGCGTTCCGCCGCACGGCCGCGCGTCGTCATCCCCGGTGCGGCATCACCCCGTCACCGCCATCCCTCGCGCTGCTGAGGCCTCGGCGGGAGCAGTACCGGGAGCAGCTGCCGCCGCGTTTCCCGACAACCGGGACGGTGCCGGTGCCATGAAGGAGGACCGCCAGCATCCCGTCGACCTGGGTGAGGCACCGGGGCCAGCCCGGCACTGCTCCTCGCACCGCCGGTCGTGGCCGGGCCATGAGCGAGACCGGCACTCACCGGGTTGATACCGGGAGCAGGAGGTGACGGGGTGGCTCTGGGGTCACCACGGGACCACACCGGCTGCTTGTACCCATCAGCCCGGGCAGCCAGCCTTGGCCTGGTGGCATCTCTGGTGGCATTTCCATTGGCACGGCCACGGGCATCACTGGCTGGTCCTTCTCTTGTTCTGTGACAGGTTACGCCATCACCAAGCCCGACATCCTGGCCGAGGTGGAGCGAGGGGACGACGGGGTGGCGGCGGCGGCGGCAGCGGGGCGTTACGGGGAGCAGCAGAGCCCCCGGCCACACGAGACCCCCGCCGACCCCTCCCAGGGTGAGCGGGACACGGGGACGGGCGGGATGCAGGAACCGGGCACCGGGCCGGCGTGGTCCCGCGGCGTTCCCGGTGAGGCGGCAACTCCGCAACGCGCTCCTGTCTCCGCAGGGGACTGGCAGGGGAAGGAGGTGAAGAGCGAGGACGGGGTGTCCCCACCGCCCCGCTCGTCCCCGTCCCGCCACACCGGCCCCGCCGATTTCCTCGTACAGGGCTGCAGCTACTGCGGCCTCCTCGAGCCGGAGCCGAATCCCGGTACCGGTAACGGGGGGTTCATCGCCGCACCCCCCGCCTTCGAGAGCCGCCGCTGCCGGCCCGGGGAGCCGCCTCTGGATTGTGCCGAGTGCGGCCGAGGCATCGGGCAGAAACCAGACCTGGTGCGGCACCGGCTGGGGCGCGGCACGGAGCTCGGCTACGGCTGCGGCCGCTGCGGGAGAGGCCTCACCGAACCGGCGGGGCTGGGGGCTGCGGGCAGCCCCCACCGCCCGGGACCCTGCACCGGGCGCTCCCCGGGCACGGCGGACGGAACGACGGCGGCGCCGCCGCGGAAGGAGCGGAAGGAGCTGTCGCTGACCGAGAAGGTGCGCGTGCTGGAGATGCTGGAAGGCCCCAAGGTGTCACAGAGTGAGCTGGCCAAGCGCTTCGGGGTGTCGCAGCCCCAAATCTGCCGCATCATCAAGAACAAGGAGCGCATCCTGAGCGAGTGGCACCGCAACGGCGACCCCGAGCGCAAACGCAAGCGGGAGGGGAAGGACGCGGCGCTGGAGGCCGCGTTGCTGCGCTGGGTGGAAGGTGCCCGTGCCGCCGACCTGCCCGTGGGCCGCCCGTTGCTGCAGCTCAGGGCTGGGCAGCTGGTCCAACCCGATCCCGAGCCCAGCGGCGGCTGGCTGGCTCGTCTGGGCGCTCGCCACGGCCTCACCAGCAAAAAGCCGCCGGCGGAGAAAGGGGACGCGGAGCAGCCAACAGCGGAGCACTGGGCCGGTGTGGTTCTGCCTGGGCTCCTCCGCAGCTACGCGCCTGATGAGATCTTCACCTGCGGGGAGACCGCGGTGCCACTACTGGTTGGCGCCCCCGGTAAGAGTGAGAACCCCGGCGAGCGGCTGACGCTGCTGCTCTGCGCCAACGCCAGCGGCTCGGAGAAGGTGCCGCTGCGGGCAGTGGGGGACAGCCCCCGGCCACGCTGCCTGCGGGGCGTCAACCTGGAGCAGATGCCGTGGAGTTACCGCGCCGGCAGCATGGCCGGCCTGACCGCCGCGCTCTTCGCCGAGTGGCTGCAGGAGTTCAACGAGGGGATGCGGCGGCGGGGCAAGAGCGTCGTGCTCCTCGTGGCCAAGCACGAGGCGCACCCTTACCTCCAGCTGTCCAACGTCAGGATGGTCTTCGTCCCACCAGCTGCCACCCTGGCCCAGCCCATGGACCGCGGCATCGCCGGCGACCTCAAGGGTCACTACCGGCGCCGGTTGCTGCGGTGGCTGCCGGCGGAGCGCGGCGCAGGGCAGCCCAGCCTGCTGGATGTGCTGCACATGCTGGCACAAGCCTGGGGTGATGTTCGACCCGGCCTCATCGCCGGCTGCTTCTGCGCCGCCGGTTTCACCCCTGAGGCGGGCACCGAGGCCGTGGCACCGAGCTCGGTGCCCAACCGGGAGCGGCTGGAGCGCGACGGGGACCCGGCGGAGGCGGATGGGGATGAGGGTATGGTGGAGGGCAAGGAGGCGGGCGAGCTGGCGGCCGTGCCGCCCTGCCCCTCGGAGCGGGAGGTCTGGAGGAGCCTGGCCACGCTGAGGAGGTACCTGGAGTGCCAGGCCACCTCGCCGGACCTCTTCCAGGCCTTCTACGAGCTGGAGGATGCGGTGCACATGGTGTCAGCCGGCGCAGGGCGGACAGCCCTCCCCAGCAGTGACCCCTGAGAGGGGCCGGTGCTCCTTGGGGCCATCACCAGCCCGGCCTGGCGCTGTTCCCTGCAGTTGTGCCGTGGGGTTTGCCGTGGGTCTGTAGGCGCCATGGGATCACCATGTGTGGGGGATGTGGAGCTGCCACGCTCTGGGTGTCACCCACAGGGCAGTGATAGTGCTGGGGACACAAAGCTGCTGCCAGAACCTTCTCCCAGGGAGTGGCTGCTGCTGCCAGCAGGGATTTGCCGTGAGTGGGGCAGTTGTGGCTGCTGTGGGGGGATGTGGGTGGTGCTGGGGTGTCCCCGTGTGGGGACAGCAGCTCCTTCCCACGGGGGAATCGGGTGCCTCTGGCTGCTGGCACCACGTGCTGCCCAGAGGATTGTTACAGGCATTAAAAAGCTGGAATTCAGCAAAGCGAAGCACGGGTGGTTTTATTCTGCTGTCACATCCTCTGTGAGCGGGGCAGAGCTCCCCAGGGCTTCCAGGAGCAGCGGGACCACCCCAAACCCCCCTTCCCCTCCTGGGAACACCGTGACCCCACAGCCACCCCAAGCTGTGCCATCCCCACCCGGGTACCAGGGCCGTGGCAGCAGCTGTGGGCAGTGAGGACCTGGCTGATCGCCCTGTCCTGGCTGTGCCAGCTTTGGTGGCACCCACAGCCACCCTGGGGTCCCCTGCGCAGCCCCCCGTGTGCACTGTGCACTCTGTCCCCCACACCAGAGGCAGGACGGGGTACAGGGATGACTCTGCTTGTCTGCAGCAGGTCAGGGGCAGCTGGAGGCCACCAGGCCACCAGGCAGGGACAGAGGTGTCCCCACAGGGCCAGTGGGTACTGGGATGGAGGTCACAGGGGGATCCCCACACAGATACAGGGTCACGGGTGGGCATGAAGCACCCGGGGGAGGGGGGTGCAGGACCCCCACAGGGATGCACAACCACGGCTGGCAAAGTGGGGGGACACAGGGGCTCCTGCACGGGGGGCTCCCCACGGGGACACAGCCCCACAGGGGCACCCACGGTGCTCTCGGGACTGGGGTACAGGGATGGACCACCCCGAGGGGACCCCCACGGGGATACATCCGTCCCCTCGGGTGGAATGCAGGGATGTCCCCTCCCACGGGGGTGTCCCGTCCCGATGGGATATCCGGTGCCGGTGGGATGTCCCTCCCGGTGTGCTGTCCGGTCCGGCGGGATGTCTCCTCCCGCAGGGGTGTCCCCTCCCGCGGGGATGTCCCTTTCGGGTGCCCTGTCCCTCCCGCAGGGCTGTCCGGTCCCGGTGGGATGTCTCCTCCCGCGGGGATGTCCCGGTGCGCTGTCCCTGCCCGTGTGCTGTCCCGGTGGGTGTGCTGTCCCCTCCCGCTGTCCCGGTGGGTGTGCTGTCCCCTCCCCTCCCGCCGTCCCTCCCGGTGTGCTGTCCCGGTGTGCTGTCCCTCCCGGTGTGCTGTCCCGGTGTGCTGTCCCTCTCGGTGTGCTGTCCCCTCCCGTTGTGTTGTCCCCTCCCGCTGTCCCGGTGCGCTGTCCCGGTGTGCTGTCCCGGTGCGCTGTCCCGGTGTGCTGTCCCGGTGCGCTGTCCCCTCCCGCCGTCCCGGTGGGTGTGCTGTCCCTCCCCTCCCGCTGTCCCGGTGCGCTGTCCCTCCCCTCCCGCTGTCCCGGTGTGCCGTCCCGGTGTGCTGTCCCGGTCCGGTGTGCTGTCCCCTCCCGCCGTCCCTCCCCTCCCGCCGTCCCGGTTCGCTGTCCCGGTTCGCTGTCCCCTCCCGCCGCCCCGGTGCGCTGTCCCGGTGCGCTGTCCCGGTGCGCTGTCCCGGTGCGCTGTCCCGGTGCGCTGTCCCCTCCCGCCGTCCCTCCCCCCCCTCCCGGGCCGTCCCTCCGCGCGGTGCCGCCCCCGCCATTCGCGGCGGTGCCGGCAGGGGGCGCGCTCGGCCGCGGCGGCGCAGGCCCCGCGCAGGGCCCGGAGGAAATGAAGGCGAGTTCCGCCGAGGCGGGAGCCATTACCCGCCGCCGGACCTGAGCCCCCCCTCCCGCCGCCCCGGGGCCCCGCTCCGCGCCCCCCGCGCCCCGCACGCCCGTCCCGGCGCAGGTAAGCGCTGCCCCGGGGCCGGGGCTGCCGGCGGGCCGGGGGCGGCGGCGGGGCCGCGGCCGGTGCCTGCCCCGCGCACCCGCCCGCGGTGGGATCCCGAATGGCGGGGGGTGGTCCGCGGGGCAGGCCCCGGCCCGGCCGCTTTGTCCCCGGTGGGAGAAGCGCGGACAAAGCCGGGGCAGGGCACCGCGCAGCCCCCGGGCCCGCGGGGGGCCCCGGGGATGGGGAGGGGGCTCGGGGCACGGCAGGGCCGCCGGGGGCTCCGCGGGGCTCCGGGCTCTGCACCGGGATGCTGCGCTGCTCCCGGGGCTCGCCGGGGGCCGAGGGCGCCGCGGGAGGTTGGGGTGGGCACGGTGGTCTTTGCTGTGGTGCCGTGCTCCTCGTGGGAGCACCTGCCCAGGTGTGCACCGTGGCCGAGGGTTTCTTCGTGGCCTTGGAGCACTTGCTCCGGCCAGGGTTTTTGATGTGGTCCCAAGTTCCTCACGAGGAGTTCGGGGTGTTCACCGTGTGTGCCACGGCTGAGGGTCTCTGCCATGGCCCCAGGGCGCTCACTGGGAGCTCCAGGTGTGCACTGTGGCCGAGGTGTTTGCAGTGTCCACAAGGTCTTTGCCGGGAGCTTGGGGTGTTCACCATAGTCAAGGTCTTTTCTTTGGCGCCGAGCTCGTCCCTGGGCTTTTCAGGTGTTCATGGTGGCCAAGGTCTTCACCATGGCCTTGCAGCACTTGCCATGGCCTTGGTCAGGGTGCTCGCTGCGAGCTTGAGCTGCTCACCACAGCCAAGGCCTTCCATGATGCCTTTGCCTTGGGGCTCTTACTGTGGCCGTGGGTTTCACCATGACTCCAAGGTCCTCAGCAGGAGCTCGAGGTGTTCACTGGGCTCTTGATGTTCTCACCATGGCCAAGACCCTTGTCAAGGCTGCTTCTTGTCCAAGGTCTTCACCCTGGCCTTGAGGCGCTCACTGTGGCCAAGGCCCCTGGACCTGTCCTTCAGGTCTCGGTCAGTGCTGTGGCCCCGAGGCCTTGGCTGGGAACCTGAAGTGCTCATCATGCCCAAGACCTTCCCCATCCTGGCCAACATTTCCAGGAGCCCCTTGCTGTGGCCTTGAGGTGTCCCCATCACCCTCAGCCCAGCCCTGAGGTGCTCTGAGGCAGCTCCTTGGCCCCACGGCAGGTGCCGTGCCCGAGGCGCTCACCACGGCCCCTCACCGCGGTTCTGACCCGCGGCACGGCCACGTCCCTGCCCGCGGCCCCCGTGGACGCTGCCTGGGGGCTCCCGGCTGCCTCTGGCTGGAGAGAGCCGGGGGCCCCTCGCCGTCCCCCCACGCTGCCACCAGCCACCGCTGCCCTTTCCTTTTCTCCCCTCCCAGGTGCCCTCGAGCCGGGCGAGGCGATGCGGTGCGCCCGTGCCGCGTGCTGTGCCGAAGCGGCTCTTTAGATCCTCCCCGGCCCAAGCCTCCCCTGCCATGGATGCCTCCGGGGCTCTTGCTTCGGCTCCCTCCTCCGCGGCTCCCTCGGGCTCCCGCAGCCCCATGTTGCCCCCAGGAGCTGACAGAGAGGAGTGGGGACCGAGGTTCAATTGTGCCCCTTCCACCTCTGCCGCAGCCTCGCAGGCGATGCCAGCGTCTGGCCGGAAGAGGAAGGCCAACTTCTCCAATGACGAGACCGAGACGCTGGTCTGGAATGTGGTCCGGCATTTCAGCGCCCTGTACGGGTCCGAGGCCCTGCGGGCTCACCCCGTGCGGCGGAAGCAGCTCTGGACCCAAATCCAAAGCCGCGTCAACTTCCTGGGCTACACCGAGCGCTCCATCGACGACCTCAAGCACAAGTGGCGCGACCTGCGGCTGGACGTCAAGAAGAAGATCACCTCCAAGAAGCACCTGCCCATGAACCGCGCCGGGGGGCCGCTCCACAAGCCGCGCCTCACGCCCCTGGAGAAGATGGTGGCTTCCACCTTCCTGCAGGCCAGCCACGACTCGGAGCCCGAGATCATCCTGGACCCAGGTCAGTGGTGGCGGTTCTGCGGGCAGAGGACGGTTGGCTGTGCTCCCTGAGGGACGTCTGGCCACGCTCTCAGCTGCTGTTGTGGACTGTGCAGAGAGACTCTGGGGTTTGTGCTGGGGTTGCAGCATCCACCAGAGTCATGGTCCTGTTGTGCTGGCCACCAGGGTAGGGAACTGTGTGTGCTGGGATTAGAAATCCTCCGTGGAAATAACCTGGGACCGGTGAGCTGTAGAAATCTCCGAGTGGTTTGAGTTGGAAGGGCCATTAAAGCTTATAGTGTTCCACCCTGTGCCACGGGCAGGGACACCTTCCACTATCCCAGCTCCATCCAGCCTGGCATTGGACACTTCCAGAGATCCAGAGGCAGCCACAGCTTCTCTGGGAAAACTGTGCCAGATCAACAGGATTCATAGGAACACCTCAAGCTTTGCAGGAGTGGGTCTTTTTTGTTCTCCTTTCTTCTTTTCTTTAATTAGATGCTTTCAGTGGCCTCTCTGGTTTCACTGGCAGCATCACCGGCTCAGTCCATGTGGCGCAGACTTGGCTGTCATGTGCCAAGCACAGGGCTCTGGGCTGGAGGAAGAAATCCTGTGTAATGGCATGAAGCTGTTCCAGGGGACGGTCAGGCTGGAAATCAGGGAAAGGTTCTTCCCCCAGAGGGTGCTGGGCTCCAGGAGAGTTTGGACAGCGCTCCCAGGGATGCACAGGGTGGGATTTTGGGGTGTCTGTGCAGGGCCAGGAGCTGGATCAGTGGTCCCTGTGGGTCCCTTCCAGCTCAGGTTATTCCCCAGCCCCACGATTCTCTGGCACTAGGGGCTGTCAGGCCCCTGGGGGCTCAGCCTGGCGCTGAGCTGTGGAGCGGGATGGCCTTGTAGGAGCATCTGTACCTCGGGGCCACCGTGTCCCCGCCAGCTGAGGCCGCATCCTCTGTGTCCCACAGATCTGTTCTTCCCCGGCGCGTCCAAGCAGCCCTTCATGCACCTGCAGCCCGGCGTGAGCCACCCCAGCATCTACATCGACACCAACGGGCAGCCCTCGGCCCTGCCCGACGTGGAGGGCTCGGCCGTGCCGCGCCTGCCGGGACAGAGCCCCGACCCCGCCGGCGGCTGCGAGTACGGCCGAGGAGAGGGGCAGGGCGGCTCCGGTACCGGTACGGGGGAGCCAGCGCGGGCTGGGAGCGGGGCGGGATGGAGATGGGCTGGGAGGGGAAGCTCTGGGTGGAGACTGGCTGGGAACAGGGTCTGGATGGAGATCTGCTGGGAAGTGTGGGATCTGGATGGAGATCCTCTGGCAGCAGGGTTTGGGTGAAGATCCAGCGGCAGTGGGGTTCTGGATGGGGATCTGCTGGGAGTGGGGTCAGGATGGAGATCCACTGGGTCAGAATGGAGATCCTCTGGGTCAGAATGGAGATCCTCTGGGTCAGAATGGAGATCCTCTGGGTCAGCATGGAGATCCACTGGGTCAGGGTGGAGATCCACTGGGTCAGAATAGAGATCCACTGAGTCAGAATGAAGATCCACTGGGTCAGGATGGAGATCCACTGAGTCAGAATAGAGATCTACTGGGTCAGGATGGAGATCCTCTGGGTCAGCATGGAGATCCTCTGGGTCAGGATGAAGATCCATTGGGTCAGAATGGAGATCCTCTGGGTCAGAATGGAGATCCTCTGGGTCAGGGTGGAGATCCTCTGGGTCAGAATGGAGATCCTCTGGGTTAGAATGGAGATCCACTGGGTCAGAATGGAAATCCATTGGGTCAGAATGGAGATCCTCTGGGTCAGAATGGAGATCCTCTGGGTCAGAATGGAGATCCTCTAGGTCAGGATGGAGATCCTCTGGGTCAGGATGGAGATCCACTGGGATCCACGTGCCGGGGAGGGCCTGGGGCCAGGGCAGCGCTGTGGTTCACTGGAGGTTTCTCTTCTCTCCCAGCCGAGTCGGGACCGGAGCTGCGCACCCCAGACGCGTCGGCCATCTCCCCATCCCTGCGAAACGAGTCCCTGGTCTCCTACGCCTCCATGTCGGAGGAGGAGGAACGGGAAGGCCGGGAGGTGGAGAGAGGCCACGGTGGGGCCGCGGGGATGCAGCCGGGGCCCGAGGCCCCCATGTCAGCAGAGGAGGACATGAAACTGTCCCGCCAGGCCATGCTGATCCGCCGGTGCAGCTCCCAGGGCTCTGTGACCTCCCTGCCCGAGGACTCCCTCAACCCCGCGGACGCTCACTCGGACTGGGGGCACGAGGGGGTGTCCGACCTGCCCGCCCTGGGCCGCGGGCTCGACTCGGCGCATCCCGAGGAGCAGGCGGGCGGCCCGGGCCCGGAGATGGGCGCTTTGCCCAGGGTACTGATGGGGCCCACCTGGGAGAAAGCTCCGGCGGAGGAGGAGCCCCCGGCCCGCTCCCCCCTGCACGGTGCCCTGACCGAGGAGTCGCTGCCATCCTCCGCCTCCCCGCCCGGAGACGCCCCGACCGCCGCCGGCCGCGGGCTGGGCTGCTCCCGCCTGCGCGAGGACCGCCGCGAGAGCTGGAGGACTAGCATCCATCACCTGCTGGACCTGGAGGAGCAGTGGGACCAGCTGTACCACCAGGAGCTGGCCATGTGGCAGGAGGAACGGGCCACCCAACGCGAGGAACGGGCGCGCGACCGGGAGCTGCAGTTCCGCCTGCTCGGCGTCCTCACGGACATCCGCGACGAGCTGCGCTACCTGCGCCAGGAGCGCGCCGGCGCCCGCCAGAGCCCGGCTCCTCCGCCCCCCGAGCCCCACCGCGACCCCAGCCCGCTCCTCGAGCAGCCCAAAGCCGAGCCCAACTTCCCCGAGCCGCCGGCCGGGAGCGCCGGTTGGGCGGACACCGCCGTGCCCAACCGGAGCCCCTTCGGGAACCGCGGCCGGGGTCGGCGTCGCGGGCGGCCGCGCGGCTCCGCTTCCCGACACAGACGCCTCTTCCTCACCAACAGCTAGGGACGGTGGGAGCCGCTCCACCACAGACACGGAGTGCCCACCACGGACACGGAGTGCCCACCACGGACACAGAGTGCCCACCACGGACACGGAGAGCCCGCGGCCGCCCCGGGGGGACGGTGAGCGGTGACGCGGGTGGCACCCGGGTGGACCCCGCGGGAAGGGACACAGGAGGCGGGTGGCCGGCGCTGCCCAGCGGGTTCGGAGCGCTCCAGGCCGGCACCCATGGGTGTTGAGGTGCTGGAGTGCCCCGAGGTGACACCGCCGTGCCCGCGGGGGACACGCGTGACAGCGCAGGCTGATGGCGCTGGTCCAGTAGGATTTACTACCTGTCGGGGGGTGGGAGTTAGAAACACTTAGTCGCTGACGTGCGAAGATTTTATGCAAATCATTTAATGACCTAATTTGCATATAACCATAAAACTTCTATTAAAAAAACCCCAAAAAAGCCTCCAAAAAACCTCAGAAATGATGGTTTTGCGTGTGATCTCTGTGTGGGGGAGGGAGCTGGGCCAGGGGGAGTCGTTTGTCCCATGGTTCTGCAGCCCTGGGTGGGGACAAGGCCATGGCACAGACAAGCTTCATTCACCCCATTCCTTTGGGGCAGCCCAGCACCCTGGGATCAGGGCTGGGGAACAGCAGCTCTGCAGACCTGGAGAGGGGTGAGGGCATGCACAGCTTGGGGGGAATGTGGAGGGTGCCCTGCCCACGAGTGTCTGGGGTCTCCAGGCAGTGTGCAGTGTCCCCAGCAAGTTCAGAGGGTCCCCAGCAATGTGCAGGGCCCAGGCAGCGTGACAGGTTCCAGGAGTGTGTAGTGTCCCGAGGGATTATCCAAGGTTCCCTGCAGTGTCCAGTGTCCCCAGGGAGTGTGGGGGGTCCCTGCCATCATGCAAGACCCCTTGGGCACTGTGCAGGGTCCCCAGGGAGTGTCCAGTGTTCCCAGAGTGCGTGCAGCATTCCCACAAAGTGTCCAAGGTCCCCAGCAGCATTTGGGGTCTCCACGCAAGGTGCAGTGTCCCCAGCAATGCTTGGGGTCCTCAGAGATGTGTGGGGTTCCTGGCATCACGCAAGGCCCCTGGACAGTGTGTAGGGTCCCAGGGAATGCCCAAGGTCCCCAGCAGTGTGCAGGGTCCCCAGGGAATGTCTGAGGTCCCCATGGCAGGTGTAGTGTCCCCATGGCTTGTGCAGTGTCCCCAGGGCACACCAGCCCTGCACCCCCTGTCTCCTCCCTCCATCTCCAGCCCACATCAGGGTGACAGCACTGCTGAACCCTCTGTGCTGTGTCCCCTGTGCTGTCCCCTCTTCCAGCCCCCCAGCAGCCAGGGCTCCTTGACTGCCACGTCCTGGTGGGGTGGGACAGGAAGGTGCAGCCCCCAGGGAGGGGACAGTGGGACAGCAGCAGGAGCTGTGGCATTTGCAGGGGCACCCAGCTCTGGTCGTGGCCTCCCCAGGAGGATGGTGACACCCAGCTTGGGGACCCTGGGGTGCCCGAGGAAGGGCCCTGGAGTCACACAGCTGTGGGGAAAGAATTGTGTGAAATAATGAAATAACTCCTATCCCCAAATCGGGGGTAGAGGAACCTGGGGTGGGTCAAGGACAGGGGACAGGAAGGACCCAGGGGTGGGTTGGTGACAGGAGTGGGGGTCTCTAGACAGCTGCACCTGCACGAGGCCACCACAGCCGGTGACACAGGGACCCCAGGACCCACAGTGTCCCACCACGACATTCCCCCTGTCCCATCCTGCTGCCGCCGCCTTCCCCGGGACCCCGGGGACGGGGCGGGAGTGCGGCCACCGAGCACGGGGGACCCGCGGCGGGGTTGCCGAAGGCTCTGCAGCCCAGCACGACTTTATTCCGTATCGCTTCGTCCATACAAAACTACACCCCAAGCACTGTACAGCGGGACGGCGCGGAGGGGGGGACAGTAAAAATAAGCAGCGGGGGCGAGGGGACAGAGCGGCAGGCGGGGATGGCGCGGGGGGACACGGGCGGCGACATTGTCCGTGGGGGGAGCGCTGGGGGGGCGAAGTGTCCGCCTGTAGTGGGGGACCCGGGGGCTCATCCCCCCGCCCGGGGCTCCCCGCCTGCCCCCCGCCCCGGCCGGGCACTCGGTTCGGTGGGACGCTGCGTGGCCGGGGGATGTCCCCATCCCGGGGGGGTGGTCCCTAATCGCCGGGGGGCAAAATCCCGGGTTGGGGCAGCGGCGGCGGCCCCGCCTCGGTGCCGTGGACCCGCTGGTGATCCTTGAGCGATTCCTTATAGCGGAAACTGCGGCCGCAGGCGGGGCACTGGTAGGGGCGCTCCCCGGTGTGGATGCGCTGGTGCTTGAGCAGGTTCTGCTTGCGGATGAAGCTCTTGCCGCACTGGGCGCAGGCGAAGGGGCGCTCCCCGGTGTGCAGCCGCTGGTGGTTCTGCAGGTGTTCCTTGCGGCTGTAGCATTTGCCGCACTCGGAGCATTTGTAGGGCCGCTCTCCGCGATGGATCATCTGGTGCCGCACCAGCCCCGAGTGGCAATTGAAGCTCTTCCCGCACTCGGCGCACGGGTAGGGCCGCTCGGCCGCGTGGCTGCGCTGGTGGATCCGCAGACTTTTCTTCCCGCTGAAGCTCTTCCCGCACTCGGCGCAGCCGTGCGGCCGTTCCTCGGTGGGACCCGCCGCCGCCGCCGCGGGGACTCCCCCGGTATCGGCCCCCGGGCCCGGTTCGGAGCCCGGAGCTTTGCCCAGTCTGTGCTGCGCCGGTAGAGCCACCGCCGCCGGTACCGCCGCCTGTCCCTCGGGGGTCCCGAAGCCCGTACCGGGGAAGAGCAGCTCCCCGGAGCTGCCCGGCAAACCCACCTCCTCGGGGGGCTCGGAGTGGGGGCATCGCTCCTCCGTCTTCACCAGCAGCCCCTCGCTGGCTGCGGGGGACGGAGAACACGGTCAGTCCTACTGAGCACACTGGGGATGTCCCCAAGCCACAGCTCCCCCCGCCCCAGCCCCGCGGTGGGGATATCGCTCACCGGGACCAGGGCCCGGGGGCAGCATCTCCCTCTCGGGCAGCTCCCAGGGCTCCCGGACGCAGGGCTCTTCCTCCTGCTTGATCCACGACAAGAAGTCGTGCGCGGTGATCAGGGCGTCTGCACCTGTAGGGAGGGGACAGGGATGGGGACACGGGGACAGGGACTCAGGCACGAGGGGCCACACCTGCTCCAGGAGGCGGGGGAGGGAATGGCTCAGCACCGGGCTCACCTGCACAGGGGTCTGGTGGCATCCCCCGCTCCTCCGGGAACTGCTGCTCCCCCACAAAGGCCACCTCCTGCTTGATCCGGGACAGGATGTCGGAGGTGGAGATCAGCGACTCTGTTCACAAGGAGAGATTTGGCCGGGGCCCGGATGGAACCACACGTGTGACCCACGGCCACCACACCCGGGGTGTGTGGTGACCCCTGGACTCCAGCCTCAGGGGACATCCCCATCCCACAGCAGTTATGGACATCCAACACCCCCAGGGAGCTGTGGGGACAGGTGGCTGTGGGACAGCCCTTGGGAACGGGTGACACTGAGATGGCACATGGGGATGGGTGACTGTAGGACAGCCCTTGGGAACGGGTGACACTGAGATGGCACATGGGGATGGGTGGCTGTAGGACAGCCCTTGGAAATGGGTGACACCGAGATGACACACGGGGATGGGTGACTGTAGGACAGCCCTTGTGAACGGGTGACACTGAGATGGCCCAGACAACCTTTGGAGACAGGCACAACCCCTGGGAACAGATGACTGTGACAGACCCCATTGGGGACAGCTGACAACGGCACGGCCGATGGGGCTGGGTGACTGTGACACAGCCCACGGGCCCTGACACAATGTGGTGGCAGCAGGGGACACGTGGATCTCCCAGTGATGGATATCCAAGATCTCCAGCACAACAGTCACGGATTTTCTGGGGTTGCTTCCAGTCACAGCTGGAGAAGTGGGCCCAGTGGGGATGGGAGTGTTTGGGAGGGGCATCCCTGGGGTGAGGAGGGTGGGAGAAGGTGAGGTGGGGACAGTGGGGACAGCGGGGACAGGTCCTCCCGCGGTGCCTCACCCGCGCAGGTGTCCGGTGGCAGCTCCCTCTGCTCCAGCTCCCGCTGCTCAGGGACACAGGGCCCGTCCCCGCGCTCGCTGCGGGGCTGGGCCTCGCTTCTGGAGATGGCCCCATCTGCCAGGGACACAGACCGATGTCACCATGCCTGTCAGCCCCTCCCTGTCAGCCAGGCTTTAGGGGACAATCTGGGGACACACCAAGCTACCAGGACCTGGTGTCCCTCCTGGCAGAGAATGTGCCTAAATCCCACGGCACATCCATGCTGAAGGTAATATGGACACTCAAGTCCTGGGTTCTGGGGGACAAGGACCCTCTCCAGCCCCCTGCAGCACTGACATGGCACGTGTGTCACCCTGTCCCCACGCACAGCGTGAGCCATGGAGCATTCCCTCTGCAATGGTCCCAGGACACAGCGAGTGCCACCACTGACCAGGGGCAGGGGACCAGGCCACCCACGTTGGGGACCCACTGAGGAGACACAGCCATCGCTCCATCCTGCCAGGAGAGGGGAAAAAGGGACATTTACCCAAGGACAGCAAAGCCTCGTAGTTCTCCTTCACCAGGTTGTTGTACAGCTCTTTCTGCCACTCCTCCAGGTTCTTCCACTCCTCCGCTGAGAAGTAGACGGCGATGTCAACAAATGTCACCGGCACCTGTGAGGACAAGACCCCCTCGCTCAGCGGTGCCCAATCCCCAGGGAAACCGAGGGTCCCCCCACTGTCCTGCACCCCCCCTGGGACGTTCTACCTTGGGGACCTCGCCCCGGGGGCCGGGGGGCAGCCGCAGCACCCAGAAGTTCCTGTTCTTCAGGAGGTTCTCCACGTTCTCCAGGCGCCGCTGGAGCAGCCCGTACTCCTGGATGAGGGTGCCCAGCACGGCCCACTTGCTCTCCAGCTGGTTCCCAAATTCCATGGCTGTCTTTTCACAGTCCAGCAGCTTCTTCTCGGCCGTGCCAGAGCGGCCCTCCAGGCTGAGCAGGCGGGTGGCCAGGAGGTCGATCTTCCTCTCCATGGCCTGCACCGTGGCCACCACGGTCCAGAGCGAGGCCTCTGCGGAGTGGAGCTGCGCCTCCCGCACGTGCGCGCGCTCCGGCAGCAGCGGCGGCTGCAGCGGCATCAGGTGAGGGGCCTCCATGTTCCACTCCTGCACCTGGGCCACGGGGAGGGCACGAGTGGGAGGAGACCCACGGTCACCCGCTGGAGTTTCTGTTCCCCGCTTCCAGGGCTTTTGGCCACCAGCAGCCCCAGAACTGCAGGGGACCCCTGTGTGCAATGCCTGCCGGCCTGAGGGGCAGTCCAGGGTGGCCGTGGGGTCGGTGCCCATCCCTGTCCCCATGGAACACCTGCCAGAACTAGGCAGGTCACCGTGGTGACCCCGTCCCAACTTGTCACCCCAATCCCCAGTCCCTTGGGAGCCATTCCAGGCTCTGCCCAGGCTGGAGCCCGCTCGGGAGGAGGATGGGGCTGGGTGGGCAGGGAGCAGCCAGGGCAGGTGTGGAGCAGGGCCGTGCAGGAACACCCTGGGGACACTGAGGGACATGCCAGGACAGAGGTGCCCGGGACATCCCTGGGCTGAATCCTGCTCAGAGCATTCCGGGCCACCCCGGGGCATCCCGGGGGCACGGGGATATCCCGGGGCAGAGGCGCCTGGGGACATGCTGGGAACACACGGGCATCCCGGGTCAGCGGGGCACCCCGGGAGCACCGGGGCCACGGCGGGTCACGTCCCTGGGGACATCCCGGGGCACCCCGGGGCATCCCGAGGGCACGTGGATATCCCGGGTCAGCGGTGCCCGGCGCATCCCGAGGGCACGGCCATGCCGGGGCAGGGCTGCTCAGCCACATCCCGGGGCACCGGGGCCACCGCGGGTCCGGTGCCCGGAGGCGGCGGGGCCCCGCGGGTTGGGGGTACCGGAGGGTCCCGGTCGGGCCGGGCAGCGGCGGGAGAGGGGCGGGCGGGGCGGCTCCGCCTGCGGCCGGTTCCCGGTGCCGGTGCCCCGGGCCGCGCTTACCTGGGCGGGCGCCCACTCGGCCATGGCCCCGCGGAGCTGGGCCGGGCCCCGGCGGCCGCGGCCGGGGCTGGGGATGGGGCTGGGGCCGGGCGGCGGCGGCGGCGAGCGCGGAGCGGGGCCGGGCCGGGACCGGGAGCGGGAGCGGGGCCGGGGCCGCTGTCGGTGCCTGCGCACGGGCCGGGCCCCGCCGCCCCGCCGAGCAGCCACGGGCAGCCGGGGAATCGCATCCGCCTCCTCCGGGCTGGGCGGCAGCGGGCGGGGAGCGGCGGCAGCGCGGAGCGCCGAGCACTGCCGCCTACCGGCACCGGCAGCGGCTCCGCCACCGGCGCGGCCCCGGTACCGCCACCGCCTGCCGGGAGCGGCCCCGTTACCGCCACCGCCACCGCCACCGGCACCCACACCGGTACCCACACCGGTACCCACACCGGCGGCTCTGCCACCGGGACTGGCACTGGAAGCGGGTACCGGCACCGGCACTGCCACCGGCACCGGCATTGGCACCGCTGTGCGAATCGGTGTCAGCTCTGCCACCAGCACCGCTGCTGCCACCAGCGTGGGACATTGGACCGGACCCGCGTCCCGGGAGCACCGACTTGGGTGGTGGCACCGAGGGCCGGGAGCCGTGGGGGAAGAGGACACGGCCACCCCCAGCAGGACCCCCGTCCTGGCCAGAAGACCCTCGTGGGGGACATTGTGGGTTTGGGAACCACCCCCTGTGCACATCCTGACCCTGGAACCTTTCGTTTTAACAGTGCCGGGGCTGGGCTGGTGCCAGGCCACGGAAAAGCGTTACGGTCCCACCTTCCCGGGATTATCCCGGGAAAAACTCCTCCAGTGCCTCGCTGCTCCAGGAGCCGCATGGATGGGCACGGCTGGGCAGGGAGGGGGATGAGCCGGCCCCGCGGAAGGGAGGGCAGTGGGACAAGAAGGGTTAACGGGCTGAGCAGCATCACGGGAGCCCGAGCAGCCATTTCCCTGCAGGATGGCATCGCTCCCGTCCCCTCCAGCACTGTGTGCCCCAGCTGGGACACCCCCGAGCTCCCCAGGCCCTGCCCCATGGCCCCGGGGCTGAGCCTTTTTTAATCAAGAGATTTTCTCCAAATATGAATCCATTTCCAATTTTCCTGTCCCTGTTCCCTGGGAGCAGAGCCTGACCCCTCCTTGGCTGTCCCCTCCTGTCAGGAGTCATGCAGAGCCACAAGGTCCCCCCTGAGTCTCCTTTTCTCCGGGCTGAGCCCCTTCCCAGCTCCTTCAGAAACCTCTGAGGCTTCTTCACCTCAGCCATGGATTCACCTGCTGCCAGCACACATGTGGTTTGCTTGGTTTATTCCCCAGATTTTCCAAACATCTCTTACCACGCAGATGATATTTCCTTGGGAATGTCAGATCAGAAGCTTTGCTCCAGGACAGCACCTGCTGGAGATCCCACTCCTTGTGGCAGCGGGGAGGTGAAGCTGGGTCTGACACAGCAGCTCTGCCCCCTCAGGAGTGAGGGGTGCTGAGGCCTGGAGCATCCCACGGGATCCAGGGGTCAGGAGAGAGAGGAACCATCCCCTCTGTGGGAATGGAGCTGTATCCCAGTCCAGGGAGCAGCACAGGATGGCCAGACTGCCAAACCACATCCTACCCTGGAGTATCCCAGCCTGGAGAGGAACAGGACACAGGGAATGGCTCCCACTGCCAGAGGGCAGGGATGGATGGTGGATTGGGAATTGGGAATTGTTCCCTGGGAGGGTGGGCAGGCCCTGGCACAGGTGCCCAGAGAAGCTGTGGCTGCCCCTGGATCCCTGGCAGTGCCCAAGACCAGCCTGGAGCAGCCTGGGACAGTGGGAGGTGTCCCTGCCATGGCAGGAGTGGCACTGGATGATCTTTAACATCCTTTCCAATCCAAACCATTCTGGGATTCTGTGAGGAATAAAAGCAAAGCCAACCCCAGAACTTCACTTAGGAGGAGGAAATAATGAGAAGCCAGTGCCAAAAGGCTGGCTTTTTGGGACATTATTCCTGTACCTAGGATGGCCAGGATGCTTTAGAACTCCTGGAACTCCAGCACAGCACCAGCTGGGTGTTCTCTGCTGCTCCTCAGGGCCTGCTGAGCCTGGAGACTTCATTCCAGCTGGAGTCTGTGACTGAGGACACCTCTCCAACTGGAGGCAACACATTTTCCCTCTTGGCACGCAAATGGAATATTCAAAAATGTTGAAAACTACCAGCATGTGGGGAGAAAACACAAAATCTGCATGTGCTCCCTCCCCTCTCCTCTCTCCTTCTCCCTGCTGCATTTCTGCTTCCCAGAGGAACATTACCAACACACTGTACACACGTTTTGAATACACCCAGGTTTTTTTTCCCCTAGAATTTCAGAAACCAAAGCATCATCTCACCCCACAGGAAAATATGGGGTCAATATAGGAATAGAACCCAAAAATAGTTAGTTCTGTAGGTACAGTAATGGGAGAGCAGCTAAAGTGGGGAAATAATGCCTGGAATTGGTTGTTTCAAACATCAGTTTACAATTCCATTCCCAATTCTTCATTTTTCATCCCTGAAAACTTCCACTGTTTCTCTGTGGTACTCTGGATATTCTCCAGCACATGTTGTTTCGTGCACCAGGTTTTATTAATGCCCCTTTTGGTACAGCAAATGCTGCTCTATTCCAACTCCTGCTCCAAGGAGAAGCTGGATGGAGCATGGAAAGAATGACAGGAATCATCCATGTCCTGATCAATGACCATCAGGCCAGCACCAAATGAATCAGAACTCGATTCATGTTTTAGGTTGGTATCCAAGACGTAACCAAAAATATGTATTCTATAAAACCAGCTGGGGTGGTTTTCTTTCTCTCTTCCAGGACTCATCCTCCCTCCAGGAGATCTCTGCTGTTCATGGCCACTGAGTGTCCCTGCATGGCTGAGAAAATTCCATCATCCCATGGGGAGATGCTCTGCCCAGGGGAGGAGCCAAACATTCCTACCTGGATACAATCGAGCATTCCTACCTGGATACAATCGAACATTCCTACCTGGATACAATCTGACCTGGGAACAGCACAGCAGCCTGACCCACAGCCTGCCAGGTTGTATCCTGACTCTGTCCGTGTTTTTGTACTACTGCATTTTATTTTAATTTTCCTATTAAATTGTAGCTCTGATTGGGATCTCCCACTGGTTTGCTTTCAAAGCAGCACAATTCCATTTGGGAAAACTGCCTTATCCCCAGAATCCACTCTGACCCACGCAGGACTATAAACCCCCACCTCCGGGCAGAGCAGGATTTTTCACAGCTGACTGCAAAGCTGCACCCTCGGCAGGCCTGTGGCACGTGCAGGACGTGGAGATGGACTCCGAGGGGGCTGTGGAGGGTGGAGGGCTCCGGGAAGCAAGGAGGGGGTTCTTTGGGAAACAGGGGTTTTCTTTGGGAAACAGGGGGGTTTCTTTGGGAAACAGGGGGGTTTATCTAGCAAGCAGGTGAATTTATCCGGGAAGCAGGTGAATTTCTCTGGGAAACAGGGGTGTTTCTCCAGGAAGCAGGTAAATTTTTCCAGGAAGCAGGTGAATTTCTCTGGGAAAAGGGGGTTTCTTCAGGAAGAAGGTGAATTTCTCCAGGAAGCAGGGGTGTTTCTCCAGGAAGCAGGTGAATTTCTCTGGGAAGCAGGTGAATTTTTCCAGGAAGCAGGTGAATTTCTCTGGGAAGCATGGGATGGTTTCTCTGGGAAGCAGGTGAGTTTTTCCAGGAAGCAGGGGGTTTCTCTGGGATATTGGTGAATTTTTCCAGGAAGCAGGTGAATTTCTCTGGGAAGCAGGTGAATTTCTCTGGGAAGCAGGTGAATTTTTCCAGGAAGCAGGGGGGTTTCTTCAGGAATCAGGTGAATTTCTCCGGGGAGCAGGGGGGTTTCTCCGGGATATTGGTGAATTTTTCCAGGAAGCAGGTGAATTTCTCCAGGAAGCAGATGAATTTCTCTTGGAAGCAGGTGAATTGCCTGAGGAAGCAGATGAGTTTTTCCAGGAAGCAGGTGAATTGCTAGAGGAAGCAGGTGAGTTTTTCCAGGAAGAAGGGGCATTTCTCTGGGAAGCAGGGGTGTTTCTCCAGGAAGCAGGGGTGTTTCTCCAGGAAGCAGGTGAATTTCTCTGGGAAACAGGTGAATTTTTCCAGGAAGCAGGTGAATTTCTCCGGGAAGAATGGGGGTTTCTCTGGGAAGCAGGTGAGTTTTTCCAGGAAGCAGGTGGGTTTCTCCAGGATATTGGTGAATTTTTCCAGGAAGCAGGTGAATTTCTCTGGGAAGCAGGTGAGTTTTTCCAGGAAGCAGGGGGGTTACTCCAGGATATTGGTGAATTTTTTCAGGAAGCAGGTGAATTTCTCTGGGAAGCAGGGGAGTTTCTTCAGGAAGCAGGTGAATTTCTCCAGGAAGCAGAGGGGGTTTCTCCGGGGAGCAGGGGGGTTTCTCCGGGATATTGGTGAATTTTACCAGGAAGCAGGTGAATTTCTCTGGGAAGCAGGTGAGTTTTTCCAGGAAGCAGGTGAATTTCTCCGGGAAGCAGGGGGGTTTCTCCGGGATATTGGTGAATTTTTCCAGGAAGCAGGTGAATTTCTCTGGGAAGCAGGTGAGTTTTTCCAGGAAGCAGGAGAATTTCTCCTGGAAGCAGGTGAATTTCTCTGGGAAGCAGGGGGGTTTCTCCAGGATATTGGTGAGTTTTTCCAGGAAGCAGGGGGGTTTCTCCAGGATATTGGTGAATTTTTCCAGGAAGCAGGTGAATTTCTCTGGGAAACAGGGGTGTTTCTTCAGGAAGCAGGTGAATATCTCTGGGAAGCAGGTGAATTTTTCCAGGAAGCAGATGAATTTCTCTGGGAAGAAGGTGAGTTTCTCGAGGAAGCAGGTGAATTGCTCGAGGAAGCAGGTGAATTTCTCCAGGAAGAAGGGGCATTTCTCTGGGAAGCAAGGAGGTTTCTCTGGGAAGCAGGGGTGTTTCTCCAGGAAGCAGGTAAATTTTTCCAGGAAGCAGGTGAATTTCTCCGGGAAGCAGGGGGGTTTCTTCAGGAAGCAGGTGAATTTCTCCGGGAAGCAGGGGGGTTTCTCGAGGAAGCAGGTGAATTTCTCTGGGAAGCAGGTGAATTGCTTGAGGAAGCAGGTGAGTTTTTCCAGGAAGCAGGGGCGTTTCTCTGGGAAGCAGGGGGGTTTCTCCTGGATATTTGTGAATTTCTCCAGGAAGCAGGGGCTTTTCTCCCTGGCTGCCCGCCGTGGGCGCGCTGGTGCCGCAGCAGGTACCCGTGGCGGGCAAAGCCCTTCCCGCACTCGTTGCAGATGAACCACGGCACCGCCACGGCCTCCAGCTGGACCTGGTGGTAGAGCAGGAACCGCCTGAACTCATCCTGCTCCTGCCCTGCCAGGACTCTGCCACCGCTCCTCATTCCCGACAGATTTGTTCCCACATTGTGGCGGCTCCCCGGTGTTTGTGCCAGCTCAGAGCAGTGGCGGCGCGGGGCTTGGGATGCTCTCGAGGATGATCCCTGGGTCATGGCACCTCCACGGCCTGGAACAAGGAGATTCCAAACATTCTCTGAATCTGATGTGACAGAACATAAATCTCCAAAGAACAACAATCCCTCCCCCCCCCCAAAAAAAAGCAGGGATGAGCTGGAATTCCCCATCCCTCCAATCCTACCAGTTTCAAGGTGCTGCCAGTGAATTCCCACAACACCACACACCTGTGCTGAGGCTGGCAGGAATTTTCCTTCTCTCCAGATCCTGTTCCTCCTTGACCTGCACTGCTCCTCCTGCTGGGATATGGCTTTTGGGAACAGGACAGTCTGAACAAGGAACACAAAGAACATGGCAATGATGGTTATTAATATATCCCCCTGATGGTTTCCCAGCAAATCCCTGCATCACTCACTCTCTAAAGAGCATCTCTGTTATTCCAGGAAAAGATCCAATGGGGAAGGAGAAGCAGCAGCTGCCCCAGCGTCTAAAGGGGTGTCTGGGATGAAGAGGATTTGTGCTCCAATTTTTATAAAATATTCCAGAAATTACACCCAGAAGGTTGAAGATTAAATGTTGAAAAGTGGAAGGTCTCAGATTTGAGCCTTAACCCCAAATTCAGCTGCCTGGTGCTGGATTTTATGGTTCAGTCCTGTCTTTTTCCCAGCTAATTCCTCCTTGTGCAATGCCCCCAGTTTCAGCAGGTTCTTCTAAGACTCAATCCAAGGGATTACCTGAATGCTGAGAAGTCAGGGAGGGCTCAAAGCTTCAGATTTAAAATATCAGTGACTTCAAGCAAACATATCCTTGGGCACTTTAAGCTAATTATTGAGATTCCTTCATTTTCTGGGCATCATTCAAGTTATTTCACTATTTCTGCATCAAAATAGTTCAATTCTCTTCAGTGAATCCCAAACCCAGACATACATCAGGGTCTGGGGATGAGGAAAACACAACTTCACTGTAATTAATGAGGGCACAGGATTAATTATCCTGTGTGTTGTTGGAGCCCTGGCTGCTGAGAATTTTGGGCTTTCTGTGCTGCCAGGCACTGACCCCCAGGAGAACACTGCATTGACCTGAGGCCGTGGAGAAGGTTCCAAAATGGAATGGCAGAACTGGGATTGTGGGGGTGGAGTTTGAATAGAAGTGTGTGATATCACAGGGTGGGAAACTCAAGAGTTTAAGGGTTTAGAATATAGTAATAGATATAAATTTAAGATAGAAGTTTTAGGGCAAAGACTAATCCTTCCCATTCATGGGTTTGTGTAGTATTGTGTAACTAGACAAAAAAGGTCCACATTACAAGACATAAGTGACTAGTTATTAGGTTAAAAGTAAAAATAATTTAGGTAAAAAGTAAAAATAATTGTGATTTCTTAATTAGATTTTTTTTTCTGTATAAGACCTTGTAGAGGGATAAATATGGGGCCATTTTATAACTTGTTAGTGCAATACTGTAGAACTCACGGCTTTTAGGACTGTGATATAGGTAAGAAATAGTAAACATTCAAGTCCAAATATGAAATACTGTCTCTGTGCATTTAATCCTAACCCTGACCAAGACAGAAAAAAAAGGTGTTTCACTGCAGCTCCTGTATCCAAACCTTTTCCATTCCTTGATCCTTGTTTTTATTGGCAGCTGCATTCCCTGGGATCCTAAACTGTCCTTCCACCTTTTAAAGGAAAATTATGGAGCTCCTTGTTTCTCAAAAAGATTCACAAGCACTTAAAGATGAATTCTCAAAAAATCAGGGATGTGGGGAGTGACAAGAGCCAGGCCAGGCCCAGCAGGTGTCCCTTTGGAGAAGGAAATCTCACCTTTTCCCAGTGTGAGCAAAGATCCAAATTTCTCCTTCAGCAATTGCTTATAAAATTCATTCTGCCAATCCTGCAGACGTGGCCACTGAGGAAACATCCCAGAGACCTAAAAAGCAAAATGCTCCCGAGTCAGGGGAGCTGTGAATCCCTGAAAACCCTCTTATCCCAAGAGTTTAAACACGTTGGCACCTCCCCGCTGCTCCCAGTGATGTCTGTGCTATGTGTAAGCAGCATATTAATGAAGGATTTTACATAAGAACCTTCTCCTGCTAATCCAAAATGAGAGAAAAGGCTTTAAAGCGATGTGACTCAGCCAGAACAATGATTTTCTCCAACAACTGGGTCAGAAATTAGTCATAAAACCAGATATCTGTGGTCAGCATCCACGCCCAGCCCCCTCAGGGAATGTGGTTCTTCCTTCAATGTAAAATATAATAATTCAGTGTTTTAAATAAACCCTGAGGCAGAGCCATGATCTGTCAGACTGGCTGGAAAAACTACTCTCTGCTAATGAAAGCTTATTATTAGGGAATAACAATATTATTATTATTAATTAAACCCTCTAAGGGATATTTTCCCAAGCTGCTTCCAAGGCTTTACACACAAATCTCCCTTTAATTTAATGTATTCCCGCTATCCAGCCCCACAATTACCCTGCAGGGCTCGGAATTCCGGATCCGTTTTCGGCTTTTGTTGCTCAGCACGTCGGCGAAAACCCGCGGGGTGCCCACGAGCCAGGTCCCATCCAAGGCCAGGATGAATTTGTTGGGAACGGCTTCCTTCAGCAGGCGCCGTCTCTTCCTGTGGATTTTCACGGGGTGTGTCTCGAAGGAGCTCTCCTCGAAGTGCTCCGAGCACAGGCACTGGTATTTGGAGGGGGTTTCCATGTCCCGGCCCATGTTTTGGAGCCACTGCCTCAGGAGGGGTTTGTTGTGGAGGGGGAATCCATAAAAACTGACCGAGCTGTTCTTGTAGGGCCCGCTGGTGCCGTTCTGGCAGTTCAGGGCCGCGCAGTAACCCATAGTCACGCACCAGGAACGGGGGAAAACCCCCAAAAACGCACCAGGGAGAAGCTTCAGGGAATTCCTAATCAACCTCAGTCCCAAACAGGTCTACATTTCTCTGAAAAGCCCATGGTTTTGGCAAAGAGGAGGAGCCGAAGTGGCCGAATGAAACGCAGCACTGAGCTTCCCACAGGAGCTCCCCACGGAGAGGAGCCAGGTCTGTCCGAACTGCTTCAAATCAATGATCTGAGAAGGAAAAAAAAGCTTTAAAATCAGCTTAATGCCACCTGAATATGCAGATTTACATTTAATTAACCCCTGTGGTATGCACACAGAGTGAGCTCTGTTCATTTCTGTATCCAGGAGGGATCCCGGGCTCCACAGGTTATCCAGCACACAGCACAGGGTTGAAAGACAAATAACTCCCAAAAAATGAAAGTTTGGGCTGCACCAGAGACTCTGAGTCTCAGGGGTGCCCATAAATGAGGAGATCTTTGGACAGGAAGGCTGAAAAAGGGAATAAAGCATCCAGGGATCCTGCTGCATCCTGCTCTGAAGAAAGATCCCAAGGTTCGAGGACACCCGGGGTTAAAAAGCAACAAGGATCAGAAGGTCCAAAAAAAGGCTCGCAGAGCCTGATTATTAAATTAAACACTTATCATGGAAATTGGTATTTTTTGCTCTTATCTTCTGTTAATAAGAGAAATAAAAGAATAAAAAAGAGGGAAGATAGAGAGAGGGAGATCAGATGGAAGAGGGAAGGAGATCACCAGTCCTGGTTCTGAGGGCACATTTTCACAGGTAAGTTTTCCCCACCCTGGAAATAGATTTCTCCTTTTTCATGTAAATGAGTGAAGATACACAGTCCCTTCTCCCAGAGCTTTCTGGAAATGGGCTTTGGGGCTCTTGATCACCTCTCCTGGATCAATCTTTGGCTGTGCCCCTTTCCTGACCCCATTCCTGCAGTGCTATTCCCCACTGCCCTTATCTCCACGGGGCAGAAGGGAAACCCCCACCTCCGTGTTCCTCCTTTCCCAAACCACATCCTCTTCTACCGAGCTGCTTTCGGGGGTTTGGGACACAGGAGCACAGCAGCTCCGTGGGGCCCGGGTGTCCCCAGGTCCCCAGCACGGGGAGGGCAGGGACAGAGTGAGTCCAGAGGAGGTCACAGAGCTGCTTCCAGGGCTGGAGCTCCTTTGCTTTGGAGCCAGGCTGGGAGAGCTGGGAATGTTCTCCTGGAAAAGGGAAGGCTCCAGGGAGAGCTCAGAGTCCCTGGCAGGGCCTGAAGGGGCTGCAGGAGAGCTGGAGAGGGACTGGGGACAAGGATGGAGGGACAGGACACAGGGGATGGCTCCCACTGCCACAGGGCAGGGATGGATGGGAGATTGGGAATTAGGAATTCCTGGCTGGGAGGGTGGGAAGGGCCTGGCACACGGTACCCAGAGAAGCTGTGGATGTTCCCTGAAGTGTCCAAGGCCAGGCTGGACAGGGCTGGGAGCAGCCTGGGATAGTGGAAGATGTCCCTGTCCATGGCAGGGGTGGCACTGGATGGGCTTCCAGGTTCTTTTCAACACAAACCGCTCCAGCCCAGCCCCGCTTTCACCGCCTGCACATGCCGGGGCTCTGTGCCTCTCCCCGTCCCACAGCTGTGGGGGAAAGCGGGTGGCGGCGCTGCCCTCCGGGGCCTTTGGGAAGGCTCCGGTCGCGACTCCCACCCCGAGGCCCGCCACGCACCGCCGCCATCTTCCTCCCCCTCAGCCGAGCCGAGCCGCACCAGCCAATCACAGGCGGAGCCGGGCAGCACCAGCCAATCAGAACTCATCCCTGACAATTTCCCCCACGCCATTGGCCCGTCGCGGCCTCCACGAGGAAAGGGCGGGAGGGACGCTCATCCCCATTGGTCAGCGCGAGGAGAAATCAGAACGCTGATTGGGCGAGACGAGAAGGGAGGCGGAGATTGCGAGCGGCGTCCATCGTTGTCATGGCAACGGCGGCGGGGCCGAAACCGCGGGAACCTCACCGAGCGGGACCGGAGCCCCGGGACTCCTTTACCGAGCACCGGCCGCGGGTCGGGACCGGAGCCCCGGGATTTCTCACCGAGCACCGACCGCGGATCGGGACCGGAGTCCCGGGATTTCTCACCGAGCACCGGCCGCGGGTCGGGACAGGAGCCCCGGGATTTCTCACCGAGCACCGGCCACGGGTCAGGACCGGAGTCCCGGGATTTCTCACCGAGCACAGGCCGCGGGTCGGGACCGGAGCCCCGGGATTTCCTCTCCAGTACCGGTGGGACGCGGGATTCGCAGTCCCGGGAACCCTCCCCCGCCTGGAGCGCAGGCGGACCCCGGGACCGGCCCCCTCCTCCCCTCCCGTTTCCTCCCAGTGACTCGAAACGTGGGATTTGGGGGATGGCAGCCGCTGAGTTCCTCCTTTGTTTTAAGCCTTTCTCCTCCCTTCCCCTCCCGCTGCAGAATGACTCGTGGCACTTGACAATTTTAATTAAAACCCCTGAAATTTCCAGCCAAAGAATCAAAAATCCGGACAAAACTCAAGCAGAAACACGCACGCAAAAAAAGTCCTTTAAGGAAGTTTCCTATAAGGAAAAGGAGCTCTGACCCCAAACAGGCTCTTCCCTGACTCTGTTTCTCTATTTCTACCCCACGGCGACAGCGACAAAGTGACAGGTGACAAATGCAGACTCTACTGAGTAAAATGAATAAATCGTGTCCTTCCAAGGCAACGACATAATCCCGTGAGAAACCCTGAACACGAGCAAAAGGTCTCGCAAGGAGGATGTTTAACGAGCAGCACCGTGTCCCGCTCCAAGGGAGGGAAATTCCTCAGGCGTGGAGATGCAAAGGGAACGACAAACAGAGGGTCACGAAAAAGCTACAAAGTTTGATTAGTAAATTTTACACTTGGCATGGAAATTGCGATGAGTTAGCACCTTATCTTCTATTAGTAAATGAAAAAGGAAGGAGGGGAGAGGTCAGGGAACATCACCAGTCCTGGCTCCAGCGCCGATCCGGGTGTCCAGGGTGTGCAGAGTCCCGAGGATGCTGTGGGGGCACCTTCTTATGGGTAAATTTTCCCCGCCCCGCTATCAGGTTTCCCACTTCCCATGCAAATGAGTGTGCGCAATCCTGCTGCTGGGCTTTTCTGGAATTGGGTCGGGGGGCTTTGAGGGCTTGTGGTGATCTCGATGTTCCTCTGCAGATCTCCACGCCTCGTCCTGTGTTTGTGGGGTCTCCGCGTCCCCTGGAGGATTTGGAACAGCACTGGCTAATCTGCCATGCCCTCCTTTGCAACCACATCCTTTTTATGTCCCGCTCCTTATCAGCCTTAACTCCTTGGAGCCTTAGCTGCTACAAATGCACAGATTAGAGAACCGAAGAACGGGATGGAAACTCGGGGTGCAGCGGGAAATGCCTCCCGAAAAGCGATCCCAGTTCGAGCTGATCCAGGTTTATTTGCAAGAGCATCCCGAGCGCTGTGGATGGAAACAATCCCGAGCCCGAGGCCGGGAACTGCCCGAGCTTTCCATAACAAAGGGCACAGTGAGGGACACAGCAGGAGACGACCATCCCACATTTCTGTTTAGGTTGGGAAGTGAGAAAAGCCCGGAGAGGGGGTGGAATTCCTTTGTTTGAGGTCCAGGCGTGGAAGCACCACCTTGAGCTGTTACCCGGTCATTGTAGCAAGATTAAATTATTGCAAGGATCCAGATGGCCGAGGCTCTGCAAAGGGAAATTTGGGATGGAGTCTGTGAGGAAACCCGTGTGAGTGTGGTGTGGGAATAAACAGAGACCCTAAACAGAGACCCATGGGCTCACAGGAGCCCATCTCAGCTCAGGTAATGCTCATCTGTGACTCCACAGTGGCTCCTGGATGGGCAGACAGGGAAATTCCTTATCCAGCAAGTGGAATCTTATCCGTGCAGCCAGAATAATGGTCTAGACATTCATGTTCCAGCTGGTTCTCGTCAACAATTAATAAAAAAATTTAATAGACATGGAAGCACAATGTCCAGTATTAACACAGCAGCATGATGGTGTAGGACCCGGAGGGTAAAGAGTTAAAATCCCTGGTGCAAATCCCCCTGTGCCAAACCGCTCAGGTTAATTTATGGCTCCTGGGTGAGAAGCAGAAATCTGCCAACCTTAACCCCAAAAGAATTCCAGAGGCTATAGCCACTGACTTCTTGGTTTAAAATTAAAGTACCAGAATGGCAAATTCCTGCCGTGGCAGGAATGGGAATTTCTGGAGTTGCAGCTATGGGTCCCAAATCATGCAGGCAGTGCCCTGGGGTGTAGCAACCCGGACATCAAGGAGTTAAAAGCTGCTGTGTCCCAGACCTGGGGAACAAGGGACAAACTGGAATAAGGTGTGGCTGCAGAGGGGGACCCTCTGAAATTTTCAGCCCCTCTGGTTTTTCCAATTTTTGGGCTTGTCTTCCTCCTTTTCTTCCTTAACTCTTTCTGCAGTTGCTCAGTTTTCACTGACAGCAATAATTCAGCTTTCATTTCCTTTCTGGGGTCTTATTTCTCTCTACCATGCTATCTATTCCTATCTAAATTCTCAAATAATTCTCCTTCCCTGTGTTCTACTGAAGCAATTAGAGTCCCAAGCTGGTAATTTTTCAGGCCCAGAATTATCACTTCAGATTCTGTAGAAGGCCAGGAGATAAAGGGGTGTGTCTCAGCTGTGGAGCCAGCCAAGGACTGTTGTGTGACACATGGAATGGGGAATGACAGGATGGGACAGCTCTTTTTTGGGACAAACACCCATGTTCTGGCTCCTGGAGATAAGCACAGCATGCACAGCACAGGGCATGGAGTGTCCAACAAAGGCTGATCAATCAGGGGGGATCAAAACCACCAGAGACCCCCCTGACCCATTTCCTAAGAGGATCCAGAGGGATGGACTGTGTCTGCTGACTTGTTTGCATCAAAAGTGAAAAAAGTAGTCCCAGGGTGTGGGAAACTTGGCTGTAAAAGGGTGATCCAAGGTTCACAGGGCAACTCTGGGATCCTGGACTCAGCTGGATCAATGCCACAGCCAGGACTGGGGATGTCATCCCCTTTGTCTCTCTGATCTCCCTCTCTCTTCCCTCTTTTCTTTAACATTTTTATTTCTCTTCCTACCAGAAGATAAGGGTAAAAATACCAATTCCCACGTTGAGAGTGGAATCTGCTATTAAAACTCTGTGAGCTTTTTTGGACAGTTCTGACACCTGTCATTCCTTTTTGACCACTGGCATCTAGAGACTTTGGGAGCTTCTTTCCTCTTGGGAGTGGGACACACAGAGGCCAGGGAGGAGGCTGGAGGAGCAGAGCTGCCCTACCTCCATATGGCCTCCTCTCCAGCAGATCCTGTCATCAGTTTTTGGGACACAGCAGCTCATTAACTCTGTGTTTCCCAGATTTCTGCAGCATTTCCATGTTCTGCTTTCACAGGATTTGGAGAACTGAACAAACACAGAAGACAGTGAACAATGTGGGGAAAGAAATGCAACACAACTTTAAGGCTATGCAAAATTAAAACCATATTCCAGGCTCCCTGGGAGGATCTCAGCCTTCAGGATTTCTCCCTTTGGGGTTCAAAGTGAGGAGCCCCAGGATTTAACAGCATCCCAGGCTCTGCAGCCTTCTTTCTGTTTGCCACAGAAGAAAGAGGCTTCCTCCTACAGCCACAGGGGCAACACTTCCTTTCCCAAAGCACCTCACCCAAGTGTGTGTTTCCTGACACCCTTACACTCCTTTATTGGACAATTAATACCTTTAACTCACTTGTTCCCAGCCCAGTCTAAGGACTCCAGACTCCTGGAATAACATTTTGGATAATTTTTCTCTATTCAGACAACTCTTCTTTGTAACACACACCACAAATTGTTCCATGTCAACGTGGTTTCTCTCCCACATGGACTCACAGCCAGCAGTACCTCCAAATTCCACCTCCTCAAATCCACAGGCACTGGTGAATGCTGTCTAACATGGAAAATAACCCCCAGCCACCTCCTTTTTCCTGGGAGAGGTTTGGGATGGCTGCACCACAGCCTCCTCCTGCCATCAGGGTCTGGCACAGAGCTGGGGGTGCTGCCCTGGCCCCACGAGGAGCCACCAAGGGCGTGTGGGGGATGTCCTATATGGAATGTGGGGGATGTCCTATATGGAATGCATCACAGAGCCCCTGATGTTCCTGCAGGGCCAGCTGACCAGCGGGACGTGGGTGTCCTGCATGTGACCTTCCTGATGCTTCAGCAGGCTCCTCTTGAGCACAAATCTTTTGCTGCAGAGAGGACACTGGAAAAGCCTCTCTCCCGTGTGCCGGCGCTGGTGGTTCAGGAGGTAATCCTTCCTCCTGTAGGTTTTGTCACACTTGGAGCACTTGTAGGGCCTCTCTCCTGTGTGACTTGTCTGGTGCCTAAGGAGCCACGAATGGCAAACAAAGTTTTTCCCACAGTCGCTGCAAATGTAGGATTTGCCCCGGCCCTGGCTCTGCTGCTGGGCAGGGCTGCCCCGGGCCAGGGGCTGCTCCCAGCAGGGGCTGGATCCCGATGTGTCCGTGGGGAAGCTCTCCTCGTTTCCAGCAGCTTCCTCTGTGCCCAGGCTGTCCTGGCCACGGGGCCTGCCTGTGCCCAGGGGAGTCTCTCCACACTCAGAGCGGGGTCCTGGCCCCTCACAGGAGGTGGGAGCAGCTCCAGGACCCATTCCTGCCTCTCCCAGGCCCATTCCCGTCTCTCCCGGGCCCATTCCCACCTCTCCTGGGTGTGGGTGCAGCAGAGGGAACATCCTCTCATACATGGGGCCTGGAAACATCTCCCCTTCTCCCTGCAGTGCCTGAGGCTGGTCCTGCTGCGGGCAGCTCCTCTCACACCTGTACACACAGGGCCTCTTTTCCAGGCTCTTTTCCTGAGTGCTAAAGAAATCATACTGAACATCACCCCCAAGGCTGCTCCCATTCCCTGTGGGGGCTGTTTCCATTATTTCTGAATTCCAGTGACTGTCCCATGTCGCTCCATGGCTGGGATCTTTGGGAAAGGACTCTCCTGGCTTTCCTGGTACCTCTAAGTCACAGGTCTTGCTCTCCACGCAATCTGATGGATGGTCCCTCTTCAAATTTTCATCTGAAACAGAGAATTCAGAGATTTTTAAATTCAGGAGTCCCCTTAGGAATATCCCTCCCAGCCCAAAGCCAAATCTTTAATACTGAGGGAGGAACAAAGTACCAGCATCCACTGAAACAAAATTTCCAGGAAAACAGGACTTTTTTTCAACTGTATTTTTAAAAATCTACATAAAAATGACTGCTGCAGTCTCAGATTCAGCCTCTCACTCAGATAACAGAGCAGACACTGTCCCACCTCAGTATTCCCAGCTGCTCTGCAGACACTCTCCTGAGCATCTCCAGGAGCAGAGTCCAAGCAGGGCCCTGAGCTAGCTCAGCAAGTCACAGAACTATGGGATCTCCTGAGCTGGGAGACACCCACAAGGATGGAGTCCAACCCTTGGCCCTGCATGGACACCCCAACAATCCCACCCCATCCCTGAGAGTGTTGTCCAAATGCTCCCTGAGTTCTGGCAGCCTCGGGGCCGTGCCCATTCCCTGGGGAACCTGTTTGGTGCCCAACCACCCTCTGGGGGAAGAACCTTTTCCTGATATCCAACCTAAATCTCTCCTCCTGAGCTTATCAGAAGCACCCTCTGCTCCCAGGAACTGTCTAAGGAGCACTTGCTTTTTAATGAACAGTCTCAGAACCTGTTTTTCTTGCCTGAATAACAACCCAAGTGGAGTAACATTTTTGTTATAGAACTTTCAAAGAAAGTCAAAGACACGAATTGCAGCCAGGATGGAAAATCAGTGATTAAAACCCATTCTCCTGCGACCCTATAAACCAAAGTGAGACCCAGTTAGCTCCCAGTTCCCAGAAAATAAAGGAATGTGTGTCCCAAACACTGGTAACTGGATGGCCATGGAGCCATGAGAAAGAACAAGATTTGGCTGGGGAAGGGGTGCCATATGGAGATAAGGCAGCAATTTCTGGGACAGACATACACAACACAGAGCAAAGGCAGGAATGAGGTCAGGAAGTGGGAATGGATTACAGGGAGGAGATCAAGACCACCAAAAATCCCCAAAGCCTCCAAACCATTTCCAGAAAGGCCTGGAAGAACTGACATAATGGGAAATGAGAAATGTATCTTCAGGGCAGGGAATCCTGGCCATAAAAAGGACTGAGGGTGCCCTCCATCCCCTCATCCACATCACTGATAAAGAAATCAAACACAATGGCCCCAGTATGTCCCCAACCTCGGGGACATCACTGGTGACTGGCCACCAGCTGATGTCACTCCTTGCCCAGCACTTTGTGGGCCTATCCCTCAGCCAGGTTTTTATTCAGATAAAAGCAGCACAGACTCGATCCATACAGCTCTGGGATTGCCTCAGCACAAGCCAGTGTCTCTGACAGCTCTGGCTGGCTCAAGAGGGAAGGAGCCTCTTCAGCTGACAGAACTCAAATTTTTTGTGACCAAATATTAACCAGCAGACTGAGATTTGTCCCAGTTCTCTCATGGTTAACACCGTAAGGTTGTGACATTTCATATAGTATTAAAAAATACTAAAAATAGTATTAAAATATTAAAAATAATATTAAAATAGTGTTCATACAGTATTAAAAAATACTCTAAACTGGATTTACTGTCCCCAAAATCCCAGCTGAAATCCATTACTGACCTGTACTTGAATCTGCAGAGATTTCCTCTTTCTCCAAATCCTGTCGTTCAGAGCACGGTGGCTCCTCCTCTTGTTTAATCCAGGATGAAACATTCCTTGCATAAATCTGAAATCCTGTTCATTGGGGAGAATTTACACAACTGAGAAACACCAGGGGAAGACACAAAGCCTGGATAATTTGGGAACGAGCAAAGGTAACAAAGCAGCAGGGAAGGCAGAACAGGAAGAGCCATTAAGGGGTAATTCCCGCAGGGGAGTTTTTGGCAGATCCTCACCTGTGGTAGGATCTCTCCGGAGGTCCTCACCCTCCGTGCCTGGCAGCTCCCTGGCATCCACCTCGTTGCCTTTCCCGGTCTGACTGGATGCCTCAGGCTCGTAAAATCCTTGCTCTGCTAAGGGAGGAAGTTCAGGAGAAGTGTATCATCATACCTGCCCAAACTCAGGGTTTCACAAGGCTGAAAACCTGCTCTGGTCTGGGCTTTGTTTGGAGGTTGTTACCCCAAGCCCAGCTCCTCTAAGCCCAGTTTCTTAAGAAAACCTTTGGAAAGGTCTAAAAATCCCAGCTGGCTGCAAACACAGGAAGCCAAGTACAGTTCTAGTGGAGCCAACAGGCAGCACTACTAACTTTGCAAAGAGTGAGGAAAATCTTCAAAGCAGAGCAGCTCATTTGTAAAACAAAGAGGCTCCAAATGAGCCGGCAAAGAACAGGGCCCTGGGCTCTGCAGCCTTTCAGAGAAGTCTGTGTGCTCCTTACCCAGGAAAACCCCAGAAGGGAAGGGAGGAAGGAAAAGGCAACCTGAAGGAATTTAGGGAAATCCACACTTGGATAAAAATCACCCATGCAGCCACAAACTCCGAAATGTCTGTGAGAAGGGAAAGGGGCAATACCAGCCCTTGCCTGTCGGATCTGCTGGCAAGTCTGCTCAGAACTTCTTAAAAGATTTGGAATACATGAGCAGAGGTGGGGAATTTAAGCACACAACCTGGAATTTAATCCCTCTGTTTCATTCTCCCTCTGAGGTATGCAGTTAGTCACCTGGGCAGGGCTCTCCAGGAGCTTCTGCAACCTCCTCCTCCCGATCTGCAGTGCACAACTCTTCCTCTTGCTTAATCTGGATTATGCTGTCTTCTGTTAACAGGAACCAGTGTTATTTTAACACCATACAAAATTAATTCCAATTGCCAGCCCAGCCCAGGCAGATCTGCTCTGTTCTAGCTCACATTCCAGAGAAAACCTCGCTCCACTTCCAGTTCCTGCTGACCAAGGCCTCTTAAACAGACCTGAAATGTTGGTTACAAAACCCTCAGCAGATGTTTGAGCCTGAGAAATGCACAAATTTTTCACGCAAGTGAAAACACGTTCTCCATGGCCCCAAGGGAGGTCAGAGCCACTTGAATTCTTGTCCTTGAGTTTTGTTTCTCTCTTGGTGCCGCCAGAGTTCTGTTGTTTCTTCTCAATCCCCCTCAGTCACACACCACTTCTCACCCATCAGAGAAACATTCATGAGAACAGAGTTCTTAGAGAAATTTACTCAAGTAATGAAAGTTATAGAAAAAAAATAAAAGACTGTAGAGTAAATAAAGAAAAGCAGATGGGCCAGTGCTCTGCACCTTTACAGTGCAGACCCGGCAGAGGGGAGTGGTGGATTCCCTAGGAGAGGGAAAAGAAAGGTGTGATGGAACATCCTGGAAAGGATGGTGGGGATAGAATGCCTGACAGAAGCAGCTGGAAGACCAAACTCAGCACAGCTAGTGCCTTGGAGAGATGCTGGTCACAGAATTGTGGAATTGTTGAGGTTGGGAAAATCCTTTAAGGCCATTGAGTCCAACCATTCCCCCAGCACTGCCAAGGCCACCACTGACCATGTCCTCAAGTGCCACATCCACAGGGATTTTAAATCCCTCCAGCAGTGGGGACTCCACCACTGCCCTGGGCAGCTGTGCTAGGGCTGGACAGACTTTTTAGGGAAAGAATTTTCCCAATATCCAATGAAACCTCCCCTGGCCCAGTCTGAGGCCATTCCCTCTCCTCCTGTCCCTGTTCCCTGGAGAAGAGCACGGCACCCAGGCTGTCCCCTCATGTCAGGAGCTGTGCAGAGCCACAAGGTCCCCCCTGATCCCCCTTTTCTCCACACCAAAACACCACCCAGATGTCCCCAGCTCCTGGCAGGTGCTCTGTGTCCCACCTCCCTCTCCCACCACGGGCCCTGACACCACTCACCGGAGCCGGTCTCTGGGGGATTCCCTTTCACATCCCGGTCCTGGCAGCTCCGGGCCCCGGGCTGGTTCCTGCCCTCCGCCGGGGTCTGAGCCCTGTGTCCAGCGGTGTCCGGCCCTGCGGGGAATGGCGGCTGAGGGGCGGCCGGGGGGCACTGTGGGGCTTCTTTGCCACCCACCATGACCCCGGCCACCCTTACTCATCCTGGCCACACGCGCACCTGCACCTTGTCCACAGTACTCCATGAGGGAACAGGGTCACCCTCAGAGCTGTGAGGGATTGGGGTCCACCCAGAGCCATGAGGGAACAGGATCCCCCTCAGAGCTGTGAGGGATTTGGGCTCATGCAGAGCCATGAGGGAACAGAATCCCCCTCAGATCTGTGAGAGGTTGGGGTCCACCCAGAGCTGTGAGGGAACAGGATCCCCTTCAGGGCTATGAGGGATTGGGGTTTAGCCAGAGCCATGAGGGAACAGGATCCCCCTCAGAGCTGTGAGGGGTTGGGGTCCACCCACAGCCATGAGGGAACAGAATCCCCTTCAGAGCTGTGAGGGATTGGGGTTTAGCCAGAGCCATGAGGGAACAGGATTCTTAGAGCTGTGAGGGATTTGGGCTCATGCAGAGCCATGAGGGAACAGAATCCCCCTCAGAGCTGTGAGGGGTTGGGGTTCAGCCCAGAGCCATGAGGGAACAGAATCCCCTTCAGGGCTGTGAGGGATTGGGGTTTAGCCAGAGCTGTGAGGGAACAGGATCCCCCTCAGAGCTGTGAGGGATTTGGGTTCAGCCAGAGCCATGAAGGAACAGAATCCCCTTCATGGCTGTGAGGGATTGGGGTTAGGCCAGAGCCATGAGGGAACAGAATCCCCTTCAGGGCTGTGAGGGTTGGGGTTCAGCCCAGAGCCATGAGGGAACAGAATCCCCCCTCAGAACAATGATAGATTTGGGTTCAGCCCAGAGCCATGAGGGAACATGATCCTCAGAGCTGTGAGGGATTGGGGTCCACCCAGAGCCATGAGGGAACAGGGTCCTCAGAGCCATGAGGGGTCAGGGTTCACCCAGAGCCATGAAGAAAACAGGATCCTCTCTGATCCATGAGGGCAAATTCCCTCAGAGCAGTGAGGGATTGGGGTTCCACCCAGAGCCATGACAGAACAAGGTCCTCAGAGCCATGAGGGATCAGGGATCAGGGATCCTCTCAGAGCCATGAAGGGTTAGGGGCCCACTTAGAGCTGTGAGGGATCAGGGTCTCATCCGAGCTGTGATGGGCTTGGGGATCCTCTCAGAGCCATGAGGGAACAGGGTCCCCTCACAGCACTGAAGGATCAAGATCCTCTCAGAATTGTGAGGGACTGGAGTCCCCTCAGAGCCATGAGGCATCAAAGATGCTCTCAGAGCTGTGAGGCACTTGTGGATTCTTTCAGAGCTGTGAGAGTTTGTAGTCCCTATCCATTTAGGTGGGATATTGGGAAAGTTCCTTCCTGGAAAGGGCTGTCCAGCCCTGGCACAGCTGCCCAGGCCAGTGGTGGAGTCCCCATCCCTGAAGGGATTGAAAAGCCGTGTGCATGTGGCACCTGGGGACATGGGTTAGTGGTGCCTTGGCAGTGCTGGGAAATGGCTGGACTTGATAGTTAGAAGCCTTTCCCAACTTCAACAATTCTTTGATTCTGTGATTCCTGCAAGCATCACTCTGCCTGTGCACAGAGACAATCTCAATTCTTCCTCTCAGTCCCGAGGAAGCAGTGCCTTTCTGTGTTACTTCACATTTTGTCTTGATTTCAGGATTCTATTTTGCAATTCAAACAACACAAATCCCAAAATAACTTGGAGATTTGCTACAAATACATGTATTTGTCTTTGAAATTCAGGAGAGCTGGGCTGGAACAGAGAAACTGTGACTGACTGTAAAATACTGCGTCACCTTTGATATCAAAGGCATCTTCAAAAACTGATGAAACATGGAGCATGTAAAATACAGAAACAGTCCAAAAAAGGGCACCTCAGGTTGTTTGTAGAATAATCCAGCAGTGCTGCTGAGATGATCCCAAACAGAACTCAGGATATTCTGATCACAAGGGAATTGCAAATGTCCCTCCACTGCTTCATGAGGTCACAACTTCCCCTCTTTATCCCAGAACACATCCTGCTCTTATGGAATCCTGGAATGGTTTGGGTGGGACCTTAAAGCTCATCCAGTGCCACTCCCTGCCATGGGCAGGGACATCTTTCACTATCCCACATTGCTCCAAACCCTGTCCAACTTTTCCTTGAACACCTCCATGAATCCAGGGACAGCCACAGCTTCTTTGGGCACCCTGTGCCAGGGCCTGCCCACCATCAGCCAGGAATTCCTTCCCAATAACCCACCTAACCCAGCCATGTGCCAGCAGGAAGCCTCTGCCTCAATATTACCCTGCAATTTAGGGCATTAAGAATATTTCTAAAAATGTAGCTATAAAATGTTTTAATCCAAGTTCTAACTGGACCAAAACACAGAGTGTAATTTTCCCTGTTTCTGTACTAAAGCAGCAAATCAACCAAAGTTTTAAGGAGAGTTCTAAACTCATTTGTTCCTGAGTGAAATCTGACCAAGCAGATTGTGACTGGAAGTGAAGTTTCTGACTCCAATGATTAAATCCACAGGAGATGAAATGCTGCAGGAACCCCAACAGTTCCATTGTCATGACTCCATCAAGTCAAGAGGTTTGATGTCTCCGTGACATTTTGATGCAAGATGAACTGTTGATTTAATTATTTCCTCTGGAGGGAAAAACTCCATTCAAATAATCTGATAGTCCACAGAACCCATGGATTCTTGGATAAGAGCAAGCTAAAAATACTCTTCACAACTAAGCATTTTGACTGAAACCCCAGATTTTATGCTGAACCAAAAATCATAAACTTTTCCATGGGAAACTGATTTCCGTGTGACCTAAACAATGAGGTCATTATTATTTAGGTGTTCTGATTTGTTAATTCTGTTTATTTTCAAGTTATCTCCACCTTCCATATCTGGGTCTAAATTTCTCTATGAATTGCAATATTCTACCACTCTTGTGACAGCACTCATGGGGACTCTGGAGGGCAACAACCCCCCTGAACTCTGTTCCAGAACAAACAGCTGCTGTCAAAACACAAATGAAATGCACCAAGAAATAAAAAAAAAACTCAAAAGAAACCACAAACTCAACATTTTTTTTCTCTTCCTGGACTCAACCCATCATGAGCACAACACTGAAAATGTGTTGCTGGCTGGATTTATGTGATCTGGGTGAGAATTGTATTGTGAGCTTATTTACACCCTATTTTTAAACATTTTTACACTTCAGGCCTGTTTGGATCTTGCATACGCACATGGAGAATAATTGTCCTGCTCAGGTTCCACCACAGCATTGAAAAAACAATTAAAAACAGTTGAACACCATGGGTTTTTTTTGATTTGAGGTCAACTTCTGTCTCTCCATCCATAAGGTACAATCTACAAACTACCACTTACAGCAGGTAAAATTGTTTGAAAAGATTGAAAGAAAGCATTTAGAACTTCATAGGCTTAATGTTATTTTTATTAAAAATCAAGTCTTTACTGCTGCAAATTTAACCAGCATTTTTCAAATAGACAGAAACAAGTTCCCTGTCCTGAATTGTTCTCAACTTAATGATTCTTTGTATTCTGAGGGATTCATTTCAGGTATGCCAGAATCCTCACCCGCAGTGCTTCACCCTCCCAGCACTTTCACCTTCCCAAAAATAAAACTCTGCCCAGGCTTCCAGCCCACTGCCCACCTCAGCACGGCTCCTGCTCTCTCCCCACATCTCAGCACACTGTCCCACAGCAGGAATGTCAGGGATTCCCACATCCCCAGCAGCACAGGATGCTGTGGGATCGCTCAGAACTCACCCACACCGAGCTCAGAGAACTCCACACCCTCCATGGCTCTTCGCTCCTTTGCATACGGCTCTTCCTCCTCTTCCTGCTTCACGGTGACAGCAAAGCTTGGCTCTGGAATGCTGCAGTCTGCTGAGGAAAAAAGGAAACTTCTTTACTGGGAAAGAGGAAACTCCTTTACTGGTTATCACGGCCCCACTGGACTGCTCTCTTGCTACCCCAAAAGTTTGTGCCCACCCACCCATGCTGTTGCCACACACAACCTCTCCAGCACCTTCCATTCCTGCTCCTGGGGCTCTGCTCTGCCCTGCAGGGAAGTGGTTTTCCCCATTCCCCACAGTTCCGGATGGTTCTCCACACCTTTAAGCCCTTCCACAACACTCACCATGGCCAGGTTCAGCCAGCCCTGCTCTTCCCTCCTGGTTTTCCTGCGCTTCTCTGCTGTCCCAGCTGCTCACATTGAGTTCAAACAGCAGAGACTCTGCCAATGTGAGAAATCATGGAATCAGATCACAGAATCCCAGGAGGGTTTGGGTTAATCTTGTTCCACCCCCTGTCATGGACAGGACCACCCCCTACTCCAGATTGCTCCGAGCCCTGTCCAACCTGGCCTTGGACACTTCCAGGGATCCAGGGGCAACCACAGGGCAATCTGTGCCAGGGCCTCCCCATCCTCACAGCCAAGAATTTCTTCCCCAATTGTAATCCTAAAAATCAAACCTGTTGCATTTTTTTATCACTATCTGTTACTCCCCCTGAACCTGCTCCTTTTGAGATCCAATAAGTCCCCTCTGTGCAAACCAGGACCATCACTTTGTGCCAGCCTCTGTCTGGTGACAGCACCACACGACCCTCACCCTCAGGATTAAAGCTTTAATTCATCCCTGGCCTGCACCTGGTTCTGCTGGGATCTCTCCAGGAGCTGCCTCCGCCTCACTGCAGGGCGCTTCCCCTCCCTGGAGCCGGGACAGGAGGGCAGGTTCGGAGATGACATCGTCTGACAAGGAACAGAGAAAGGAATGAATGTTTCTGTGCTGCATGCACAGGGAGGAACACACCCACTGCGCTCCCCAAACCAGCTCCAGCAGCTACAACACACGGCTGGGCAGCACGGAGAGTCCTCAAACACAGGCAGTGGTCTCACTGTGCTCCCACAAATCTCCTTCGTACGTCTGGGAAAGATTCCCCAACCAGAAAGTGCTGATAACTGATCCAACAGCAACACTCACCCAGCTGGACCAGGGCTTCTCTCTTCCCTGTCAGCACCTTTCCATACAGCTCCTTCTGCCACTCCTCCAGGTTCTCCCACTCCTGAGTGGAAAAGCCGGTGGCATCGTTTTCCAATGCCACAGCCGGGGCCTGCAATCCCAAAAGTGACACTCAGCACCACTCCTGGAACACAGAGAATCCTACTCCCTACTTATCCTTGCTACCAGGTGTCAAGGAAAGAAAATTCCTGCCTTGGGGCATCCTCTGGACACTGAGAGTAACAGTTTGGATCTTTGCTAAACTTTGGGAGATGAACTGTGTATTCCACAATATTCTTACTTCCCCCTGGAGCCTGATCCCATTGGGGACCTCGGAGTGGGGAAGAACTTTCCCGCTGTTGGTCAAAACGTGACAACCCATCCTTTTGTAGGGAAAACCAGCCGAATATAGCGATATGCAGGAGCAATCACTTCCTGCTTCAGGCGACAGAAGAAAGAAACCTTGGCAGAGACCGTGGAATGATTTCCATGGCGGAAAGCCGCCGGGAGAGGTGAGGAGCAGAGGAACCTCTGCGCTGTCCCTGTCCCCCTCAGGCCCCTTAAAGACCCATCTATTACCTTGGGGACCTCCACGCCGGGGGGCAGCTTCAGGATCCAGAGATTCCTGTTCTTCAGGAGGTTCTCCATGTTCTCCAAGCGCCGCTGGAGCCGCCCGTACTCCTGGATGAGGGTGCCCATCGCCGCGCACTTGCTCTCCAGCTGGCTCCCGAACTCCCCGACCATTTTCTCGCAGTCCAGGTGCTTCTTCTCGCTGTTCCCGGCCCGGTGCTCCAGGTTGAAGAGGCGGGACGCGTGTGCGGCCACGCTGCGCTCCAACGCCTGCACGGCCGCCACCACCGTCCACAGCGAGATGGTGCTGCCGCCCGCCAGCTCCATCCCCGCACCGGAGCGGCGGAGCGCAGCGGTACCGGGGCAGGACAGCCTCACTCCGGCCGCCGCACACCGGGGCGGGGCCGGCCCGCTCCTCCCCGCTCCTCCCGCACTGGAGCTGGAGGGTTCCGCCCGTACCGACCCTGCCCCGCCGCCGCCTTTTCTCGCCGCTTCCTCTTCCTCCTCCGCTTCCGCCGCCGCCACAGCGGCCCCCGCCGGCCGCCGGCCCCGCGGTGATTGACAGCTGTCAGTCACCGGGAAGGGCTGATGCTGAGCGGAGTGGCAGGAAACCTCCACGGGGTTCCACCGAAGCGGCGCTGGATGCAGAATCTCAGAATTCCTGAATGTAAGGGACCGTAGTGGTGCTGGCTGCAGAGCACAGGGCTCAGGATTACATTCTGACAGCTCTGGAATGTCCCTGGTGGTGAGCAGACCCCTCAGGGCTGGGCACTGCCCAGGGCAGAAGTTCTGCCTCCTGTGCCGGGAAATTCTGGGATCAGTCCCTGCCCATTCCTCTGGTGCCATCGCTGGGTCCTGGAGCACAGCCTGGCCCTGCTCTGACCCTCCCTGCACACAAGGACACCCAGGGACACTCAAAGATACCCAGGGACACACAAGGACACACAGGGACACCCAGAGACAGACAGGGATACCCTGACTCACTGAGGAACACCCAGGGACACCCAGAGACACACAGGGACACTCAAAGATACCCAGGGACACACAGAGACAGACAGGGATACCCAGACTCACTGAGGAACACCCAGGGACACCCAGAGACACGCAGGGACAGGCGGGGACACACAGGGACATTCAGGGACACACAGGGACACCCAGGGCTGAGGCCACTCTCACTGGGGCTCCTCTCCAGGCTGAGCAGCCCCAGCTCCCTCAGTTTTTCCTGAGCACCGAGATGCTCCAGGCCCTTCCTCAGCTCCAGGAGCTCCTGGCCCTACTGTGCTGAGGATCCAGAGCTGGACACCGCACCCAGAGGTGCCCCCAGGGCTGGGCACAGTGGCAGGATCACCCCTGACTTGCTGGGAATGCTCTTCCCAATGCACCCCAGGATCCCATTGGCCTCTTTTCCCCAGCACACTCTATCGGCTCAGGGACAGCTCATTGTCACCCAGGACCCACAGTTCCTTCCCCACGGAGCTGCTCCAGCAGGTCACCCCCAGCCTGTGCAGGTACCTGGGGTTGTTCCTCTCCAGCTGCAGCACCTGGGCTTGCCCTTGTTGAATTCCAGAAGTTTTATCCCTGCCTATCTTTCCAACTTGCCGAGATCCTTCTGAAGAGCCACACAGCCCTCGGGGCGTGGATCAGCCACTCCTCCCTCCCAGCTTTGAGCCCTCAGCGACCCCTTCACCCAGACCAATGACGAACCAGGCAAACAACACCGAGCCCGCCCCGACCCTCATGGAGCTGCCACTCAACCACTTCCCAACCCATCCCACCGCCCCCTCCATCCCTTCAGCCCACCCCTCCGGGCTCTCGGTGCCGCCCCTCCGGCGGCGTGTCCCGCGCGGGCCGGCGCGGGGCCATGGCGGAGCTCCGGGCCCGCCTCGAGGCGCTGGAGCGGCGGATGGAGCGGGCGGAGGCGGCGCTGCGGGAGCGGCCCCTCAGCGCCCCGGGGCTGCACGGGGTGAGCACCGCGATGGGGCAACGATGTGTGTGGGGTTCGCTTGTGAGGCTGAGGGAGCTTAGGGGAGTGATGGAGTGTTATTTCTATGGTTTTCCCCCCCTCCACGCAGCCCCCTCTAGGATCCGACCAGCTCAGAGATATGGGGCTGTGAGGGGAGGAAATACCAGGAGAGGGAAAAGTATTCAAAAGAGGCCCTTACCCCAGGGAAGTTGGGGTAGCTCTCTTTATTCTGTGGTGTCCATGGAGAGCGGGGCAAAAGAGAAAGAGCAGGAAGTTTCAGGGGTCTATATAGGTTTAGGACAGGGTGAGCTCTCCTGGCTCCCCGCCAACCCCATTGGGGCAGGGAGGAGGATCCAGGGGTTATCATGATCAGAGCCACAGAGGCCTTAGGAAAGGGGGGACAAAAGGGTGTCCAGGAGCTCACCGTAACAATGGGGGAGTCACTTATGGGGTCACTGTGGGGCTGGAGGTTGAGAGGGAGACTGGGGGGGCACTTAGGGGCTGGTGGGAGGTCGAGGGGGAAGCCTGGGTGTTGCTTATGGGGCTGTTGGAAGGAGGGATTGTGGCTGGGAGGGAGCCTGGGGATCGCCCGTGGGGCTCTTGAGGGATGGGAAGGCTTTGGGGGGCTCCTGAGGGGGGCTGCGGTGGGTTTCAGGAGACGGGATGGGAATGCAGTGGATTCCCGGCTGGCCGGGAGACGCTCGAGTGGCTCCTCAGGGGGCAGCAGTGGGTTTTAGGAAACTGTGGGGATGAATCCATTGGACTCCTGCGGATCTGGGAGCTGTTTGAGGCAGCTGCGGTGCGTTTCAGGAGACTGGGGATGAACCCACTGGGCTGCTGGGAGCAGACTGGGAATAAGCAACGGGGACTCCGTATGGGGATTTTGGAGCTGTTGAAGGGCTTGGGTGGGTCTGAGGGTCTGGGAGTTGTTTGGGGGAGCTGCCCTGTCCCTCATCCCAGCCGATGCTGCAGGTCCCGGTGCTGTTCGAGGATGTGGCAGTGCGGTTCAGCCGGCAGGAGTGGGCAAACCTGAGCGAGGGACAGAAGGAAATGTACCGGAGCGTCATGGAAGGCAACTACGAGATGCTGGTGTCCCTGTGTAGGCTGCGTTTGCGCCGGTTTGGCAGCCCCAGGGAGCTCTCTTGGGGTCATTTCTCTGCCTCTTTGCCTTTCACTGGAATCTCCAGCTCTCAAATAATCCTCCCTTTTCCCTTTCCCCTCCGGCAGTGGTTGGAGCGTGGCAGGGACACGCAGGACAGGGTAGTAAGTGCTTGGTGTCTTTTCCTCTTGGAGAACAGGTACATTGTTGGTGTTGTCATCTCCCTGGGTTGTCACCTCCAAAATTCTCTGCCTGGGACACCCCTTTCCATGAGAATTTTCCCTAAAAACCAACCTGAACCTCCCCTTGAAGCTGTTTCCTCTTGTCTTGCTCCCTGGGAGCAGGTCCTGATTCCCTCCTGGCTCCACCCTCCTGTCAAGGAGCTGTGCAGAGCCAGAAGGTCCCCCCTGAGCCTCCTTTTCTCCAGGCTGAGTCCCTTCCCAGCTCCTGGTGCTCTGTTCCCCTGGTCTGTTCACTTCTCTGGACACGCTCCAGCCCCTCAATGTCTTCCTTAGCAGGAGTGGCCCAGAATTGCCCCCAGGATTCGAGGTGGTCCCTCAGCACTGCCCTCATGCAGTCAGGAGCCTCGTGATTCCCTTATCGTCATTCAGGGTGTTTTCCTGTCTGCTAGGTGAATTTCTGGGAGAGCTGGGAATTCTGTAGCAGGGGCAGAACAAGGATGGATTTTCTTGCAGTTGTTCCCAGGGGACTGTCAGAGGTTGCTTTCCATAATTCCCCTGTCAGCTCTGCCTGCTGTTTCCTCTCTGTATCCATAACTCCCGTCGTGGCCCCGGTTGGAGATGAAGTTTCCTGGGTTGGGACTGGCTCTGTTGCCCAGCTGTGGGTGCAGAGTCCCTGTCCCATCCTGTGCCTGATGTCTGTCCTGCTCTTGCCCAGACTGCGCCCTGTCCAAGCCTGAACTGTTACTACAGCTGGAAAGAGAAGAGCTGAGCACGCCGCCGGAATCCGAGGCAGAGGCAGCAGAGGTGTCCCCAGAGCTGGCTGTAGGTGGGTGACACTGGGTTCCTTCTGTGCCACAAGCTTCTGACTGCTTGCTGGGACTGTGAATCCCAGAATTTTGCATTTGGGTTGAGAGGAATCTTAAAGTTCATTTCTTTCCAAGCCCCTGCCATGGGCAGGGACACCTTGCACTAGTGCGGATTGCTCCAAGCCTTTTCCAAGCTGGGACACTTCCAGAGATTGGGAGGTGTCCACTGTGAGGGAACATCTCCTGGGACATGTGGATAGCCTGGAAGCTCCTGCCCCAGCAGCTGGTTGGGTGTCAGGGATCCTGGGACCTTGTGGAATGGGATTTTTCACTGGCTGCTGGTGAATTAAAATGTCCTTGTCCTCCACAGAACCAGCCCGACAGAACTGCACCAGCGATGATGCACTGCTGGAGATGGAGACAATGGAGAGGGGCTGCAGGGAGCCAGAGGAAAGCGGGAACGTGGCAGAGAAAAGTGGGAACTTGGTAGAGGAAAGCAAGAACCTAATACAGGAAATCTGGAGCCTAGTGGGGACAAGTGGGAATCTGATAGAGGAAATCTGGGGTGTGGTAGAGCAAAACAGGAGCCTGACAGAGGAAAACAAGAGCCTGACGGAGGAAAACAGGAGCCTGACGGAGGAAAACAGGAGCCTGACGGAGGAAAACAGGAGCCCAGCAGAGGAAAACAGGAGACCAGCAGAGGAAAACAAGAGCCTGGCGGAGGAAAACAGGAGCCTGGCGGAGGAAAACAGGAGCCTGGCGGAGGAAAACAAGAGCTTGACGGAGGAAAACAAGAGCCTGGCAGAGGAAAACAGGAGCCCAGCAGAGGAAAACAAGAACCCAGCAGAGGAAAGTGGGGATCTGATGGAGGAAAGCAGGAACCCAGCGGTCCCAGAGAACTGCAGCACACGTGAGTGCCTGGCAAATCCTGCTGCTGTTGCTGTGAGGGGTCCTGGATCCCTGCCTGGCTGTTCCTTCCCCACCTTCCTCACTGCTCTTGTCCTCACAGCACCTGTCCCTCTGGAAGCCACTGCTGTCCTGGCGGATCTCAGCCAGCCGACCCCGTCCCCTCCCCGCCCGCTCTCCGTGCACTGTCAGGAAGCCGTGGGTCAGAACTGTTCTCCCCCTGCAGCAGGTACTGGGGCAGAACCCTTAACCCTCCTTGGTGGGGCCAGCAGCTTGGGGGGTCTATTGGGCCTCTCTCCAGGCTTGGGGCTTCCAGGAAAGGGAAACAAATCATGTTACGAGCCCTTGAAACCGTTTGGGTACAGCATGGCATCGGTGCACCTGCCCAGACAAGCCCCAGGGTGGTTGTCAGAATTCCCTGTCCCCCTGGGTGATGTTTTCCACCTCAAACTGCTCCTGGGGTGTCTACAGGGATAAGCTGGGGATGTTCCTGACTTTTGCACAGTCCAGAGACTGAGCTGGAAGAGGAGAGCAGAGCTGGGATTTGTGCTGCCTGGGGACAGGGCGGGAAGTGAGGGAGGGTGGGAGCAAAAGCCCTTTGCTGTTCATGCCTTAAAACCATGTGGAAAGTGATGTTTGGATTCTAAAAAATTCCCAGGAGATGCTGAAGCAGGGATCCCAATGGAGGTGCCGCAGGAGGAGGTTGCTGCAGAGAAGCCATCAATGCCCAAAACACCCTCCAAGGGTCTGGAAGAGGACAAGGGTCATGAAGAGGAGGCTGTGAAACATTTAGGGAATACTGGCCAAGATCTGGTGGCCGACATTCCTGAAGAACCAGGAAAGGAGGTGACACCAGATGTCCACAAAACGACAGAACAGGCAGATCCCAGCCCAGGGCAGCCGGAGAAGGACTCCTGCGTGGGCCGGCCCATGGCCTGTCAGCGAAATGCCACGCGGGAATTTTACTCCTGCCCCATCTGCAGGAAGACCTTCCTGCTGAAGATCAACCTCCTGATCCACCAGCGTGGCCACACCAACTGGGTGCCCTATGTCTGCGTCCACTGCGACCGCAAGTTCATGTCCAAGAAGAAAATCAGGCGGCATCTCCGTGCCTGGGCAGTCAACGGGACGTGCCAGCCCTCGGAGCTGGAGGTGTGTCCCAGCCAGGTGCCATGCCCAGCATCCCATCCCCAAACCTGGGCAGCTAATGGGACATACCAGGCTGGGAAGCCAGAGGAGTGTCCTAGTAGGACACCGTGCCCAACACCTCAGCCCCAAGCCTGGGCACCCAATGGCACCTTCCAGCCCTTGGATGCAAAGGCATGTCCCAGCCAGGGGACACCATGTCCAACATCCCAGCCCCAAGCCTGGGCACCCAATGGCACCTTCCAGGCCTTGGATGCAAAGGCATGTCCCAACCAGGGGACACCGTGTCCAAAATCTCAGCCCCAAGCCTGGACACCCAATGGCACCTTCCAGCCCTTGGATGCAAAGGCATGTCCCAGCCAGGGGACACCATGTCCAACATCCCAGCCCCAAGCCTGGGCACCCAATGGCACCTTCCAGGCCTTGGATGCAAAGGCATGTCCCAACCAGGGGACACCGTGTCCAAAATCTCAGCCCCAAGCCTGGACACCCAATGGCACCTTCCAGGCCTTGGATGCAAAGGCATGTCCCAGCCAGGGGACACCGTGCCCAACATCGCAGCCCCAAGCCTGGACACCCAATGGCACCTGCCAGCCCTTGGATGCAAAGGCATGTCCCAGCCAGGGGACACCATGTCCAACATCCCAGCCCCAAGCCTGGGCACCCAATGGCACCTTCCAGGCCTTGGATGCAAAGGCATGTCCCAACCAGGGGACACCGTGTCCAAAATCTCAGCCCCAAGCCTGGACACCCAATGGCACCTTCCAGGCCTTGGATGCAAAGGCATGTCCCAGCCAGGGGACACCGTGCCCAACATCGCAGCCCCAAGCCTGGACACCCAATGGCACCTGCCAGCCCTTGGATGCAAAGGCATGTCCCAGCCAGGGGACACCATGCCCAAAATCTCAGCCCCAAGCCTGGGCACCCAATGGCACCTTCCAGCCCTCGCTTGTGAAGGCTCATCCCAGCCAGGGGCCATGTCCAGCACCCCAGTGCCCAACATCCCAGCCCCAAACCTGGGCAGCCAACGGGACCTGCCAGGCCTCGAAGCCGGAGGAGTGTCCCACCCAGCCCCTGTGCCCATCCTCCCAGCCACAAGCCCCAAACAGGGACTGCGGCACGGTGTGGCAGGAGCCTGGCCCCACCCAGTGCTCACTGTCATCTGGAAAAATGATGTACACGTGCACCGAGTGTCGGGAAACCTTCTCCAACCAGGGCTTCCTGACGGTGCACCAGCGCCGGCACTCCGGCCACCACCTCATCCTGTGTCCCTGCTGCAACCGGAGCTTCACCTGGGTGTCGGACTTCGTCCGGCAGCACTGGATGTACATGGGCGTCCGGCCCCACCAGTGCGGCATCTGCCAGAAGACCTTCAAGAGGTTCTCCCACCTCAAGGTGCACCAGAGGATCCACAGGCGGCAGGAGCGACCGTTCCCCTGCGCCAACCAGGTGCCACTCGTGGTGGCACCCGCAGCAGGAGACGGGGTGGGAAGTCAGGCTGTGACCCCCAGGGATGGGGCGCTGCTGTCGGACCTTGAGGTGTCCTCCCAGGAACGGGAGGCCGCTGCTGGATCTCAGGGTGTGCACCCAGGTGTGGGAAGCTGCTGCTGAAATTTGAGGTGACCTCTCAGAGACTTGAGGTGACTTCCCAGGATGTTGCTGCTGAAATTTGAGGTGACCTCCCAGAGACTTGAGGTGACTTCCCAGGATGTTGCTGCTGAAATTTGAGGTGACCTCCCAGAGACTTGAGGTGACTTCCCAGGATGTTGCTGCTGAAATTTGAGGTGACCTCCCAGAGACTTGAGGTGACTTCCCAGGATGTTGCTGATGGGAATTTGAGGTGACCTCCCGGGACACGGTGCTGCTGATGGGCTTTAAGTTGACTGCTCTAGGATAGGAGGCTGATCTTGAGGTGAAGGATGGGATGCTGCTGCTGATGGGCTCTAAGGTGTCCTCTCAGGAATGGGATACATGATGAATGTCGAGGTGTCCTCCCAGAAATCAGATGCTGCTGTTGAACCTTGAGGTGACCTCCCAAGAATGGTATGGTGCTACTGGACCTTCAAGTGACTCCCAGGGATATGATGCTGCTGCTGGATTTTGAAGTGACCTCCTGGGGACCGGAGGCCACTGTCAGACCTTCTCCCCTCTATCCCTCTCCAGATGGAGGCTGGAGCATGGACAACATTTTCTGGCTCCCCTGCCCTGGTGTGGGGATGGGGGGCACCTGCCCAGCCCATGTGAGGGGGTCTCCTTGTTCCCAAGCCCTGGTGGGGCAGGTGGGATGCTTGGAGTGGGTGCTTTTTCTGGAGAGTGCCAATAGATGCTGTAGAAACCAGGATGCTGCACGTGGATTCCTTGAGGGGTCTCTGGGAGGGTCCTGCTGGGTGGGTGGGTGGCACCAGGGATGGGATCCGTGGCATGGAGTGATGGAAGAGTGAGAACGGAACACTGGGTGGGAGGTGTCACCTGCTGCTGGGGCGCTGCAGTCCCAGTCTGAGGTGGGGATGGGGTGGGATGGGATTGGGGGTCTGGATGGACCTCTGGGAGTGGCACTGGGGGTTGCTGGGCACTGGGATTTGAGGGCTGGAGCTGTGGTTCTCCTGCAGGGGTGGAGATGGATGGGATGAGGAACGAATAGGGGTAGGGTGGGATGGGGGTGAGAGGGGATATGGATGGATGGAATGGGGGTGGATGGGGATGGGATGGGATTGGGTTGGGGTGGGATGTGACAGAATGGGGTGGGGATGTGGATGTGATAGAAATCGGGATGAGGATGGAGGTAGGATGGAATGGGACTGATAGAGCTTGGCTCTTCACTGTGGGACCCGGCAACAGGACGAGAGGAACAGGCAGGAAACTGATGCCCAGGAAGTTCCACCTAGACAGGAGGAAGAACTTCCACCCTGTGCAGTGACTGAGCCCTGGAACAGCTTGTCCAGAGAGGGTGTGGGGCCTCCCTCACTGGAGATGTTCCAGGATGGTTTGGACACAATCCTGTGCCATGTGCTCTGGGATAACCCTGTTTGAGCAGGGAGGTGAGACCAGATGAGCCACTGTGGTCCCCTGCAGCCTGACCCATTCTGGGATGGGATGGGATGGGATGGGATGGGATGGGATGGGATGGGATGGGATGGGATGGGATGGGATGGGATGGGATGGGATGGGGCTGGAGATGAGATGGGATGGGGCTGTGTCCAGGCTGTGTCCGGGCTGTGTCCGGGCTGTAACCGGGCTGTAACCGGGCTCTAACCGGGCTCTAACCGGGCTGTGTCCGGGATGTAACCGGGCTGTGTCCGGGCTGTGTCCGGGCTGTAACCGGGATGTGTCCCGGCTGTAATCGGGATGTGTCCGGGCTGTGTCCAGGATGTGTCCGGGCTGTAACCGGGCTCTCACCGGGCTGTAACCGGGCTGTGTCCGGGCTGTGTCTGGGCTGTAACCGGGCTATAACCGAGCTGTGTCCGGGCTGTAACCGGGCTGTAACCGAGCTGTAACCGAGCTGTAACCGGGCTGTGTCTGGGTTGTGTCCGGGCTGTAACCGGGCTGAAACCGGGCTGTGTCCGGGCTGTAACCGGGCTGTGACCGGGCTGTAACCGGGCTGTGTCCGGGCTGTAACCGGGCTGTGTCCGTGCTCTAACCGGGCTTTAACTGGGCTGTAACCGGGCTGTAACCGGGATGTGTCCGAGCTGTAACCGGGCTGTGTCCGGGCTGTGTCCGGGCTGTAACCGGGCTGTGTCCGTGCTCTAACCGGGCTGTAACCGGGCTATAACCGGGCTGTAACCGGGCCGGGGTCTCTCGGTGCGGCGGCCGCGGGCGGGGCGGCGCTGGCGGCGCGGGGCCGGCAGGGGGCGCTGCGGCGGCGGCGGCGGTGAGGGGCGGTGAGGGGCGGCCATGGCCCAGTGGGGCCGCGCGCAGGTACCGGCGGGACCCCCCGGCACCGGCACCCCCGGACCCCCGGCGGCACCCCGGGCCCGGCCCCCCTCACCGCCCTCTTCCCCCCGCAGCAGCAGGACCCCGAGTGGGCTCCCGAGGCCTGGCAGGCAGCGGGCCCCGATCCCGGCGCGGGCCCCGGCGGGGCGGCCCCGGCGGGGCTGTCGCTGCGGACGGTGGCGGCGGCGGAGCGGCGGCTGGAGCGGAGCGTGGAGGCGGCGGAGCGGCGGCTGGAGCGGTTGGAGCGGCGGGTGGCGGGGCTGGAGCGGACGGTGAGGGCCGGTGGGGCCCGGCTGGCCGCGCTCCTCAGGGACAACTCCCGCCGCCTCCGCCGCATCCAGCGGCAGCTCCGCCGCTGCCGCTGCGGGGGCACCGGCACCGGCAGCGGCCGCGAACGGACACAGGTAACGGCCACGGGGTTCGGGCCCAGGGAGCCGGGACGGGATGGGCCCGGGGGACGGGGACGAGCTTTGAGGAGTGGGAACAGGGACGTGCCAGCGGTGGGTGGCAGGGATAGGCTCTGCGAACGGGATGGGGATGAACCCATGGCTGCAGGAATGGCCCCACGGTAATGAGGATGAGTCCCAGGGAATGTACCCTCAGTGACAGGGATGGGTGTACGTAATGGGGACAAGCCCCAGATAACAGGAACATACCAGCGGTGACAAGTGCCAGCTAATGGGAATGTGCCAGAGATGGACAGGGATGTGTCCCAGCTCTCAGCGTGACAGGGACAGGCCACAGGTGACAGAGATGTGCCCAAAGCCGTGGGAAAGTGCCCCAGGTGACCGTGTGGCCATGGGAAGGGCTGCTGGCTCTCAGGAGCTGCAGGGAGCCAGAGGGACACGGCTCGTCTGGTGCTTGTCCCTGTCCTCAGGGAAGAGGGGGAGCAGAACACCCACCCCAAGTGTTTCAGCCATGGATTGTTGTGGGATGGTGCTGCCTGTCCTGCTCCCACCGGAGGTGTCACTGCTCGCCTGGCTGCCAGGATGGATCCTGGGAATCTGTCCTGGTCTGGGGAGGAACAGCTGAGCCTTGCTGGGATGTCTGGGGATGTCCCCCCTGGCATGGCTCTGTCCATAGGGGCTCGGGGAGGGGCTCAGTGGGGACCCCCAGGTGGAGCCTCCTGTACTTCCAGGTGCCGGCGGCGGGCGAGGAGGCTGCTCTGTCGGAACAGGAGTTGGGGAGCGTGGACAGCCAGGAGCTCCATGGGATCGCCAGGAAGGGGAATTATGAGGCCACGGTCCCTCTCGGTGAGGATCGCTCAGATCATGTCAGAAGCATCATCATCCCTGGGCTGATGCAGCTTCCAAACCCTCCCCATGTGGAACACGTGGGGATTCAGGTGACATGTCCTGCAGTCAGTGTTCCTGCACTGTTTTTTTTCCTGGGATATGGGATTTGCTGCACGGATTTGCTGCAGAGTCTTACAATTTAGTACTCCTTAATTTTGGGCTGGAATTTTAGACCTTGAGTGTCCATCAGGCACTTCCTGGGACAAGCAAAAATCATGTGCCTGGATCAGCTGCCAGTGGCCTGTGGGATCAGATGTCCTGGAATTCCAGGACCCCACTTTGGCTGGTCCCACTCTCAGCAGTTCACCCCACTGCTCCCTCATTCCCAGGGTCCGAGGATGCTGGTTCCAAACCTGCACTGCTGCCACCAGCCGAGGACAGGGAGGATCCAGGGAGCCCCGGGCTGCCGGAGAAGGGAGCGGTGCCAGGACAGCTTGGTGACAGTGAGTGGCAGCAAGGGGGGCTGAGGATGGGCATTGACAACCTGCCCAGACTGGGCCAAGTTCTTAAGGATGGAAAATGGGAAAACTTTGGGCAAGGCTCAGTCAGGGTGGCTCTGGAGCTGGGTACCTGTGGGGGGATGCTCCCTCCTGCTTTGGGGAAGCTTTGCTTTGATGCTTTTCCCTGGATTCACACATTTAAACTCTGCCATTCCTGATGAGGTTCCTTCCAGAATGGAGGACTCTGCACCTCAGCTTTGCCTTCACTTTCCCCTCTGGTTTGGTTTTTTGGTGGGGATTGTATTGTCAGTCCATAGTGTCATTGAGTGCAGCATGTCCAGGGCAGTGGTGAAGTCTCCATTCCTGGAAGGATTTAAAAGCTGTGTGGATGTGGCAGCTGGGGATATGGGGCAGTGGTGGCCTTGGCAGTGCTTGGTTGATGATTGGACTTTGATGATCTTGAAGGGCTTTGCAAACCTCACTAATTCCATGATTCCATGAGGTCCCTGAGGTCCAACAAGCTGCCTGGACAACCCCCCTTCACCTCCTCTCCTCCTGGGAATCCCTTCCTGCTCCCTTTCGTTCTTTGCCAGTTCTTCTCACCTCTGCTCCCGCTCCCACTCTGGAGCTGGAGGCACGGGAGGACTTCCTGGGAATGAACTGTGGTCTCTCCACAGGTGAGATGATCGTGATCAAGACGGAAGAGCAGCAGCCGCAGGAGGACGGAGCTGAGCTCCTGGCACTGCCAATGGTGCCTGCGGTCAGGCTGGACGAGGAGGTTCCCCTCAGCCAGGAGCAGCCGGTTTCCTGGGAGAGCCACGGCGTGGCCGGGCCGAAGGCGGCCGGAGAGGGCTTGGGGGAATTCTGCCTGGGGGAATTCAAGCCGGTGGTGGTGCCGGTGGAAGCTCACCCTGCCCTGGGCCTGCCCTTCCCCACGGAGCAGGCGCTGGGCGCGGGCACGGAGCAGCCGTTCGCGCTCGCCCAGGGAATGCCGCTGGGAGAAGACCCGGCGGCCGAGGTGGCATCGCCGCAGCCCGGCTGGGAGCAGCAGAGTCCCCGGGACGATCCCCGGGTGCTGCCGCCGGGCTGGAAGAGCGTCCGCCTGACGCGGAACCTCCTGGCGCGACAGCAGAACCGGGCGAGGAAGAGCAACGGCTCCTTCATCTGCACGTCCTGCGGGAAGAGCCTGGCCCACCACGCCGCGCTGCTGCGGCACCAGCGCCTGCACACGGGCGAGCGGCCTTTCCAGTGCCCGGCCTGCGGCAAGAGCTTCAACGAGAAGTCCAACCTCAACAAGCACTACCGGATCCACACCGGGGAGCGGCCGTACCGCTGTCCAGCCTGCGGTAAGGGCTTCGTGCAGAAGCACCACCTGCAGAAGCACCAGCGCATCCACGGGCCGCAGCTCCGCAGCGCGTGGCCGGGCCGGGCGGCGCGAGGCAGCGCCGGTGGGGAACGGCTCTACCGCTGCATCGAGTGCGCCGAGAGCTTCCCCCAGAAAACATCGCTGGAGGAACACCAGCGTCGGCACACCCAACAGCGACCCTTCCAGTGCCACGGCTGCACCAAGAGCTTCCGGCACCGGCAGTCGCTGAACCATCACCAGAAGGTGCACGCCGCCGTGGTCACCTCTCCGGCCGGCAGCTTGCCAGGACACGAGCCGGAGCTGGAGCCCTGTGAGGCTCTGAGCCAGGATAATCGGTAGCCAGAGGGCTGGAGAAGGGAAGGGACAGCGGTTCTGCAGCGTGGGACTTGTGGCAGCACTGGGAGTTTGTGCACATGCTGTGGGAGTTGTGGCACCACCTGGGTGTCAGCACGAGGAGGGAGCCTGCTGTGCTGTTGGGCAGGGAAGGGCCCAGGGTGGGATGGGACTGGCCCCGAGGCAGCAGAGGAGTGGAACTCGGGTTGTTTGAACAGCACCACTGTGCTGGGAGGGGGGCTGGGAGTGGTCAGTGGCCTGGGGGCAGCTGATAGCCCAGCCGGGAAGAGAATCAGATAAAAGACTGAACTGACTGGTCTCCTGTTGTGCTCAGGGGCAGCTGGGGGGTGACATCCCTGGCTCAGTGGGGGAGGAATGCAGAGCTACCTGCTGGGAATGTGGAGAGTCCCACAGGAATCCCCCACAGGATTCTCAGTAGGATCTGGGTAACTCGGGACTCCCTGGCAATGCTGAGGGACATGTCCCACCCATGGTGGCCAGGGCCACTCCATTCCCTGTCCTTCCCAGCTTCCCTGACCCACTCCTCCTTCCTGGCTGGGATTCCACAACTCTGCCAGCTGCTCTGGAGCTGCTGGCAGTGACTCCCAAAACCTGTGATTTTGGGAAAAACCTCCCAAAACCAAAAAAAGGCAGTGACTCTCCTGCTGAGAGCTGTCCTGGCTGATCCCAGTTCTGTGCCCAAGCACCAGCACAGCCCCCAAAGCAGCCAGACATAGAGACAAATACTTTATTGATTCCACAGCCTGAGAAAGGGGTCGGGAATGTCGCAGGAAACGCCGCTCCTGGTCACAGGAGATTTAGAAATGCCAGGCTGGGGCTGCTGGCCCTTCTGCTGGCCTGGGGGCATTCAGCCACCAGCACACAAGCTCAGCCATGCCCCTGGGATCAACTGGGGAGCAATCCCAGGGGTAGGAAGCGTGAGACACCAGCCCAGAGGAGCAGTGGGATGTCGTGTGTATTCCAATGGAGCAGCTCGGACCCTGCTGTCCATCCCATGGAGCAGGAGGTGGCTGAGGATCACACCTGGATGTGGCACAGGCGTTCCCTCAGCTCCCAAAGCTTCCCACAGCAGCACCATCACACCCTGGGAGTGACTCGGAATAAAAGATGGGAAAAGCCTACCAGTGCTCACTGCTCAGAGAGGGACAGAGACCTCAGAACATCAAATAATTACATTGAGCAACTCAAACCAATAAAACCTGGAAAACTAAATGCAAGAGCCCCCAGCAGCTGCTCCACTGTGTCCTTGTGGCACTGGCTCCGGGCGGGAGGTGCTCCCTGTGCACACCCAGTGGGTGGGATGCACATGGGGCACAGACACTGCTCCGGTGGCTCCCGGGGACACTGGGGCAGTGCCAGGCCTGGCTCCCACTGGCTGCCTCTGGGCAGGTCCCCCTCTCCCTGACTGAGGTAGCTACAGAACTGTTTTCCCATAGGATTCGTTACGGCGGGATTTTGGGCAAAAGGGGACGAGCTGCGGTTGGGAGAGTGGGAGTTGCCTCCAGAGCTGAGGGGCTGCTCTGTGCACGCACATCCATGAGGACTGGGGTGCTGCTGCAGCATGGGGCTGGCTGACCCGCCAAGTATTCCTAAAATCACTCTGCAGCCATGCAGGATGGTCCTGAGGGCGCCTGTGGCCTCCCTGATGCTGGGATCCCTGGAATACGCCAGCACAGAATTTTGGGGTTTGTCCTATGGATCTTCCAGTGCAAAACTCCAGTGTTCCCAGCCTGCTGGAGGGAGTGTTGCTGATCTCCGCCCCAGGGTGGGGGTGGCAAGGGTGGCCAGGACACAGTGGGGTCTCAGAGATGTCACTCTCCATCTGGTGTCTCAGTCAGGAAGCTTGGTCCGTGGAGCAAAGGGCTGCTTGAGAATGCTGCCAGCTTCATTCCCTTCTCCCTGCCCTCTTCAGTTGTGTTTCTGAATGCAAGGGATCAGCCACAACACCAAAGAATGCGAAAGCTCTGCTCCTGTTTGACCAGGATTTACCTGGTCATCTCCCAGGAATGTCAACTTGGGAAAATTCCAACTATCAGCCAAGCCGAACAATTCAGTGGAATGGTGAAGCATTATAGATCACTGGAGGCTTCTGCAATTGGCTCTTTGTTGTGGTCTCCAAGCTTCCCATTATTTCCACAACCCAGGAAACTCCTAAAACACAGCAGATTCCCATTTTTGGTGTCCCACGAGACAACAAACTCGTGGGACAAACGCAAACAAACTCGCAGCTTCTCTCCAGGGTCACGCACAGTTCAGATCTGTCCCAGGGTCTGTGATCTGTCATTTCTCTGTCATCTCCGAAGCCACTGCCCTCGATCCCAGCTGGACCACGGGCTGCACAGCTTTCCTTATGCAGTCAGGGAGTGGGGAGCCCGGGAGCCGCAGTGGCGTTGCTCCCAACAGCAGCACGTTGGGCAGGCTCGTTTTTGCAGCCTCAGGTCTCCCATTCTCTTGGGAAGGGCTCCTCTCAGCCTTGGGAGCTTGGTGCTGGATAGCAGCGGGGGCCTGGGCGTTGGCCTCCTGCTGGAGCGCGGCCAAAGCCCTCTCGTGGATCTTCTTGTGGCGCAGGAGGTGATTGCTGCGGGTGAAGCACTTGTTGCAGGAGCTGCAGCAGTAGGGCCGCTCCCGCGCGTGGGTCTGGAGGTGCCGCCGCAGCGACGTGGAGCAGGACAGGAACTTCTTGCAGTGGGGGCACTTGAGCCTGGAGTTGGGCGGCTGCACAATCCCAGAGCTGGACAAGCCCTCTCCATCCGGCTCCTCCTTGGGCTGGCCCAGCCAGGCCGCCCCGACGTGGCCACCACCGCCCAGCCGGTGACCGCCGCACAGGTCCCTGCGCGGGCGGACGCGCAGCTCGGGGTGGACGTTGCCCCAGACCTTGGCCCCCAAGGCTCTGTCCTTGACGTGGATGCTGCGGTGAAGGTCCAGGTTCCGCTTGTTGCTGAAGCCGATGTCGCACACGGGGCACTCGTAGGGCCCCTCCTTGGCGTGGCTGCGCTGGTGGATGATGAGGTTGATCTTGAGGCGGAAGCGCTTCCCGCACTCCGTGCAGGGATGGGACCATTCCCGCACGTACCCGCGCCGGCAGTTGCCCATCAGGAGGTTGCTGGCCTCGCACCGGTTCGGCTTCTTCTTGATCTTGGCTTTCACCAGCTCGTTTTTGGGACACTTCTGGATCTCTGAGCCGGGAGAGGCTGTGGATTCCTCTGCCAGCAGCTCAGGCTCCTCTTCCTTCACCTTGATGTCCTCAAGAGAAGCCCCTTCGCACGGTGTTTCATCTTCCATGGATAAGGCTTCCTCTGGAACAAAGGGACACCATGCTGGTGTCAGAACCGGTGTGACACAGGACCAGGGCCCCTCCCTGTGCTGGCCCTGCTGGGGCGCCTCCAGTCCCAGGGGCAGCTCTGGGCTTCTCATGTTTAGAAAGACATTGAGGGGCTGGAGCGTGTCCAGGGCAGGGAACAGAGCTGGGAAGGGTCTGGAGGAGCCCCAGAAGGGGCTGAGGGAGCTGGGAAGGGGCTCAGCCTGGAGAAAAGGAGGCTCAGCAAAGCTGTGGCTCTGCACAGCTCCCTGACAGCAGGGGACAGCTGGAGGGGTTGGGCTCTGCTCCAGGGAACAGGGACAGGGCAAGGGGAAATGGCCTTGAGCCATGCCAGGGGAGGTCCAGGTTGGATACTGGGAAAATTCCTTCCCCAGAAGGGTTGTCCAGCCATGGCACAGTGGCCCAGGGCAGGGATGGAGTGCCCATCCCTGGAGGGCTGCCAGGCTGAGCCCTCCATGGGTGCCATCGGGACCAGTGGCAAACAAGGGACCCACCTCTAAACCCACGTGATGTCGCAGGAAGAAATAAAAGGAACCCCTGAAACTTATTTTTCCCTCCCTATTTCAAGCCCATCAGCTCTGGAAGCTTCTTCCTACCCGCCTGCCAGGCCCCGTGTCCTCAGCACAGGGTGACTCACCAGTGTCAGGCTCTGCCAGGTCCTCCTCCATCTCCGGGTCCTCCTCTGCCGCCGTCCCCAGCTGATGGTCCCCCAGGGACATCACATTCATCATCAGGATGGGGAGTTCTACTGCAAGGAACAGGGATTTGAAAACCCACGGAGACCTCCCAGGTCCCCGCTCCAGCAATATGAACCAGGGATTGCTGGGAGTGTGTGTGGAAGAGCTGTGGCTCAAGAGCCAGGATGTGGATCAGCTATCAGAAAAATTCCTTCTGGAAAGGGCTCTCCAGCCCTGGAACAGGCAGTGGTGGAGTCCCTGTCCCTGCAGGGATTTAAAGCCGTGTGGATGTGGCACCTGGGCACATGGGGCCTTGGCAGTGCTGGGGAACAGTTGGACCCAAGGATCTCAGAGGGCTTTTCCAACCCCAGCAATTCTGTGGAAAGGCTGGAAGGTATCAGGAGGAACTAGAGTGAAGCCACACATGAGCCAAAAGCAGAGGGAGGGCTGGAAAGGAAGGACAGCAAGCTGTCACATGCCAGCACCTCACAGAGGAGCCTCAAGCCTCACCCCACCATCGCCACAGGCTGCATTCCCGTGTCCAGACCCTCTTCACTGTCCAGTGACAAGATCCCAAGGCTCCCTGGCAATGCCTCTCCAAGCACCAGGGCCATGCACCTCTGCCCTGGACGCTGCCAGAGCCCCGGATTGCTGGGGAAGGGGAAGCACATGCTCCCTGGCACCCCTGGAACTCACCTGGGCCAACTTCCATGGGCATAGGATCCTTTCCCGAAGCCTCTTTCTGCTGCTCCATCTCTCCTGGTGTCACTGGGGGCTTCTGATTGTTGGGGACACCTGTCTGGAGGGGGTTCTGACTGTCCCCAGGCTGTGTCTGAAGCAGTGTCTGGCTGTCCCCAGTGTGTGCCTCTGGGGACTTGGGGCTGTTGCCAGTCTGTGTCTGTGGGGGTTTTGGGCTGTCCCCAGTCTGTGCCCTTGGGGACTTTGGGCTGTTCCTACTCTGTGTCCATGGAGACTTTGGGCTGTTCCCACTCCGTGTCCATGGAGACTTTGGGCTGTTCCCACTCCGTGTCCATGGAGACTTTGGGCTGTTCCCACTCCGTGTCCATGGGGACTCTGGGCTGTTCCCAGTCTGTGCCCGTGGGGACTTTGGGCTGTTCCCACTTCGTGTCCATGGGGACTCTGGGCTGTTCCCACTCCGTGTCCATGGGGACTCTGGGCTGTCCCCAGTCTTTATCTGTGGGGTTTTCTGGCTGTTTCCACTCCGTGTCCATGAGGATTTTGGGCTGTCCCCAGTCTCTCTTTGTGGGGAGTTCTGGTTGTCCCCAGTCTGTGTCTGTGGGGTTTTCTGGCTGTTTCCACTTCGTGTCCATGAGGATTTTGGGCTGTCCCCAGTCTCTCTTTGTGGGGATTTTGGGCTGTTCCCACTCCGTGTCCATGAGGATTTTGGGCTGTCCCCAGTCTCTCTTTGTGGTGAGTTCTGGCTGTTACCACTCCATGTCCATGAGGATTTTGGGCTGTCCCCAGTCTGTGTCTGTGGGGTTTTCTGGCTGTTCCCACTCCGTGTCCATGAGGATTTTGGGCTGTCCCCAGTCTCTCTTTGTGGTGAGTTCTGGCTGTTACCACTCCATGTCCATGAGGATTTTGGGCTGTCCCCAGTCAGTGTCTGCGGGGTTTTCTGGCTGTTCGCACTCCGTGTCCGTGGGGATTTTGGGCTGTTCCCAATCTGTGTCTCTGGGGGTTCCTGGCTGTCCCCATTCTGTATCTGTGGGGTTTTCTGGCTGCCCCCATTCTGTGTCCATGAGGGCTCAGGACCCTTTTTGTTGCTGGGCTCTTCATTCCCATTGATGCGTGTCCGGCCGTTGGGTGTGGACTCGGCACCGTCTGTTCCCAGGGCACAGAACAGGAGCTTTATTAGGATCTGCACCTTTATCCTGCCAGATTCTCAAAGGGAGCCTTGTCCCCTCTCACAACACCTCCAACCCCAATGGCAGAGCCGCCTCCTTGGCCCCGTGGCAGGATCCACACAGGAGAGAAGCTGTGAGTAACAGAACGTGAACCCCAAAGGAGATGTCCCTCTGTGTCCCTTTTCCTCTCCCCATACTCCCACCTGGGCTCCAGCTGAGTTTTCCCATGGGATAGCACCTGCCCAGCTTCTCCTGGGGTGCCTTTAATCTTCCCAGCTCCTCAATCCTGCAGGAAAGAGCTCTCAACCACGGCTCTTCCCACATCTCTGCTGCTCCCAGCTCTGTCTGGGTCTGTCTGTCCCTTTCCAGCACCTTCCACCTTCCTGCCCAGCCCTCCCACTCTAAATCCATGCCCCAAGGCTCCCCAGACTCCTCTGTTCCCCCAGGACAAGCAGAGCAGCTCCAGCCTCCCCTTCCCACCTCAGCTCCCAGTTTCTCACTTCCCAGCACGTTTCCTGTCCCTCCACAGCAGGCAGGAATGCCTCTGGAAGCCCCAGTCTTACAGGAGGCCCTTCCCACTGCTCCAGACCCTCCTGCAAGGCTTTGACTGCTTTTCTCCCTGGGACTCATCCCACCAAGCACAACCATTCCTCTTGGAATGAAGATTCATGGCGCTCCAGGGTGCTTTAGTCCATGGAGCGAGCTGAGCCCTTCCTCCCTAAGGAAGGGGAGGTCTCCAGGAACAGCCACCTCCTCCTGGCACCCACCTGGGGCAGCTTCCATGGGGGTTTCATCTCCTGGAGCCTCGTCTGCCTTGTCCCTCTCTTCTGCTGCCCGGAGGGGCTCCTGACCATCCCCAGTCTGTGTCCATGGGGGCTCCTGGCCCTCTTTGTCACTGAGCTCTTCATCCCTCTCCATCTGGGACAGGATGTCGGGCTTGGACACGGCGTAGTCTGGTCGTGGGGCAGAGGATCAGGGGTTGATTAGGATTTGGCTGCCTTTAGTCTGGCACATTCCAGCAGTGACCCTTGTCCCCTGTCCCAGTCCTGGCGGGGACACAAACACCTCATCCCTACTCCAAACACTTCCTGGGCCCCAAGGCAAGATCCACCCCCAGGCACACGCAGCTGAGGCAGAGAGGATCTTAACCAGCAGAACAGGAACTAAAATCCCACATGAGGAAAAAGCTTTGACTGCAACATTTCCCTCTAGTGGAAGTCAGGGACATCTCCCACTATTCCAGGTTGCTCCAAGCCTCATCCAACCTGGCTTTGGACACTGTGGGCAACCCAGGCCAGGGCCTCACCACCTCACAGCCTTCCAAACCCATGACTCCATGAGCTCCAGCCCCCCAAGCCTTACCCAGGGACACCAAGGTCTCGTAGTTGCCCCTCATCACGGCCCTGTACAGATCCTTCTGCCAGCGCTCCAGCCTCTCCCACTCCAGCTCGTTGAAATACACCGAGATCTCATCGAAGGTGAGCGGCACCTGGAATCACAGGGAATTCCCTGGAACCACGCGTGGCTCGGGACACGTCCAGCCCCGCCGTGGGGACACGCAGGAGCTCGGCCCCCAGCCCTTGCACGGCATCCCTGGGAAGTGGCCGCTGCTACCTTGGGGATCTCCCCACTGGAGCTGGGGGGCAGGCGCAGGATCCAGAAGTTCCTGTTCTTGAGGAGGTTCTCCAGGTTGAGCAGGCGCTGCTGCAGCTGCCCGTAGCCCTGCAGGAGGGTGCCCAGGGTGGCCAGGCCGCTGCCCAGCTCTCCGACCAGGTTCTCGCAGGCCAGCAGCCGCCGCTCCGCGTGCTCCGTGCGGCTCCGCAGCTCCTGCAGCTCCGTGCCCGGCACCGCCTTCTGCCGGAGGCTGCCCGATACCTGTGAGGGATTCGGGGTCAGGGCCTGGCCAGAGGGTGGTCAGGGAATGGGGACCTGCTCAGAACCCCCCGGTAGTCCTGAGGGATTCCCCCAATTCCGCAGGGATCTGTCACAGCCTGGCCGCCACCCCACGTCCTCCTGTCCCCACCTTACCACAGACCTAAGGGAGACCCCCAGAACAGACACCCCAGGGTAACCCCTGCCAGCAGCACCTTGGGGGGGTTCCCCAGATCCTCCTCTGCCAAGAGCATCCATGGGACATCCCCTCACCCCAAGGAAGCGAGGCACCCGCACCCTCCCGAGCTGCCATCCGCTCCAGGACCCTGAAGGACACCCCTGACGCCCAGAACCAGCACCCCTCCCTTGGGGACCCTTCACCCTCCCAGAACCAGCACCCCCTTTCCTGGGGACACCTCACCCCCCCAGAACCAGCACCCCTCTCCTGGGGACCCCTCACCCCCCCAGAACCAGCACCCCTCTCCTGGGGACCCCTCACCCCCCAGAACCAGCACCCCCTTCCCTGGGGACCCCTCACCCCCCCAGAACCAGCACCCCTTCTCCTGGGGACCCCTCCCCGCCCCACAACCAGCACTCCCTCTCCTGGGGACCCCTCACCCCCCCAGAACCAGCACCCCCTTTCTTGGGGACCCCTCACCACCCCAGAACCAGCACCCCCTCTCCTGGGGACCCCTCACCCCCCCAGAACCAGCTCTCCAGGACACCCCCGAGCTGTCACCGCCCCGGGACCCCCCCACGCCACCTCCCTCCCCCCTGCCCGGGACCCTGCGGGACCCCCTGTCCTACTTGCCCCGTGGGGCCCCCGCGTGCCCCTGACCCAGCACGGCTGCGGCCCGCCCCGTCCCCCGTCCCGTGGCGCACCCCGGCCCGTGTCCCGTGCCGCGGGCGGGCCCTGACGTGCGCGGGCCCCCGGCGGGACATGGCCGCGGCCGCCACCGCCGCCCCGGGCCCGCGCCCGCGCCGCCGCCGGGCCCACAGAGGGCGCCGTGCGCCAGAGCGGCTCCGCGCCCGGAGCGGCGCCCCCTGCCGGCCGGGAGGAGCGACAGCCGCCCGGGGGCGGGGCCTGCAGGGGGCGGGGCCATGGCAAGGGGCGGGGCCGGGAAAGGGGTGGGGTCAGGGCGGGGGGCGGGGCCAGGCCCCCGGGGCCACCAAGGCCGGGGCCACCAAGCCCCGGGGCCACCAAGTCCGGGGCCACCAAGCCCGGGGCCACCAAGCCCGGACCTCCGGACACTGCCCAGGCCCTGAACTGAGAGCCCTGCGGGACCCCCAGGAGCTCCCACGTCCTCTGGGAGCAGCATTCCTGCGGGATCTCCCCATCCCTGTGATCCAGCATCCTTGGGGATCCGCCATTCCCCGGATCCGGGACCCCCAGGAGCTCCCATGTCCTCTGGGAGCAGCATTCCCGCAGGATCTCGCCACCCCTGTGATCCAGCATCCTTGGGGATCCGCCATTCCCCGGATCTGGGACCCTCAGGAGCTCCCACGTCCTCTGGGAGCAGCATTCCTGCGGGATCTCCCCATCCCTGTGATCCAGCATCCTTGGGGATCCGCCATTCCCCGGATCTGGGACCCTCAGGAGCTCCCACGTCCTCTGGGAGCAGCATTCCTGCGGGATCTCCCCATCCCTGTGATCCAGCATCCTTGGGGATCCGCCATTCCCTGGATCTGGGAGCCCTGAGGGACCCCCAAGAACGGCATCGTTGGGGGGTCCTCCAGCCCCACCTCCCCTGGGAGCAGCATTCCTGGGGGATCTCCCCATCCCTGTGATCCAGAATCCTTGGGGATCCGCCATTCCCCTGAACTGGAGCCCTGCGCGACCCGCAGGAGCTCCCACGTCCTCTGGGAGCAGCATTCCTGGGGGATCTCCCCATCCCTGTGATCCAGCATCCTTGGGAATCCGCCATTCCCCTGAACTGGAGCCCTGCACGACCCCCAGGAGCTCCCACGTCCTCTGGGAGCAGCATTCCTGCGGGATCTCCCCACCCCTGTGATCCAGCATCCTTGGGGATTCACCATTCCCTGGATCTGGGAGCCCTGCGGGACCCCCAGGAATGGCATCGCTGGGAGGTCCTCCAGCCCCACCTCCCCTGGGAGCAGCATTCCTGGGGGATCTCCCCATCCCTGTGATCCAGCATCCTTGGGGATCCGCCATTCCCTGGATCTGGGAGCCCTGCGGGACCCCCAGAAATGGCCTCACTGGGGGATCCTCCAGCCCCACCTCCCCTGGGAGCAGCATTCCTGGGGGATCTCGCCACCCCTGTGATCCAGAATTCTGGGGATCCTCCCATACCCTTGGACTGACATTCCTGAAGGACCCCCAGGACCAGCACCCTTGGAGGTTCCCCGCGCAATCCCCCTGTACAGACACCCCCCGGGTTGACTCTGCCCCTGTTGTCCCCAGTGTCCCCACAGTGCCACCCAGCCCAGCCCAGCGCGGGGTGGCTCTGTCGGGGGTCACCCACGCTGCGTGTGTCCCCCCAAACACATCTGCTCCCTCTGATGTGCCAGCTTTATTTGGGGGCTTGGCAAAGCGGGGGCGGCTGCCTCAGAAGCATTTTGGGGGGTGGGAAGCGTGGGGGGCTCAGCGCAGAGCAGGGAGTGGGCAGCTGAGCTGTGCTGGCATGGGGCTGCTCCCGGTGTCCAGCGGCATTCCCAGGCTCCGGCATTGTTCCCACCGCGCTCTTGGCTGCTCGATCACTCCTGAAATGTCCCGCGGGGGCTGCCGGGGGGTCCCCGCCGGTCCCGGGCTCCTGCTGGGGTTCCGCTGTCACTTGTCACAGCAGCAGGATGCGCCCGGGGTGTCTGGCGGGCTGGGCCGGCTGCGGGTCCTCCCTCCTGGCTCTGGCCTGCGGGAGGGAGCGCGGTGTCACAGGGAGCCCGGAAGATGGAGATGCCATCCCATCCCATCCCATCCCCATCCCCAGCCCCATCCCCACCCCATTCCCGGGCAGCCCCGGGCACACTCCGGTACCTCCAGTCCCTTCCCGCTCCGAGCCCGCCTGCCCAGCTGAGCCGCATCCTCCTCCCGGGAATTCCAGGGCATCGACTGCGACTCCTGTGGGACAGACGCGGGTGTGGGAGCCCCCATTCCCCAACCCCGCATTCCCATATTCCCGCATTCCCGCATTCCCGCATCCCGGCTCACCTCGCTCAGCACGGAGAAGCAGCCGGAGCAGGGTCTGTGTGGCCGCCACCGGCCCTGTGGAGGGAAGGCTGGGATGGGGACCGGGATCTCCCGGAGCACAGGGCGGGAATGCGGGTAGGACTGGCAGGTGATGGGAATGACGGGGAGCCCCATCCTGCCGTGCCCTCCCCGGGATTTTCCGCGGCTGCGGGGGCTGCGGCCCGGGAATGCCGAGCCCATCCCGGCAGGGACAGGGAGGCTGGAAAAGCCACAGCCCGGGATTTGTCTTGGTGTGGGGCCAGCCCCGAGGAGCGGACAGGGGGCAGGCCATGCCAAGCTCTGTCATTCCATCCCCGTTATTCCCATTTTTACCCCTCTCCACGCACAACCGACCTCTCTCCTCCCCGCCGCCATCCCGGAGTCGCCGTGGTCAGCTCCGGCCACTCCGGCCACGGCCACGGCCACGGCGCAGAGCAGCAACAGCCTCATGGTGCCACCGCGGCTGTCCCGGGACTGCGGCCACTGCCCTGCCTGGACATTGGCCCCGATGTCACCATGGTGACCCTGGAAAGGTCACTCGCAGCCGGAGCTGCCGGACACAGGGAGAGCAAAGGGCTGGCTCTGGATAAGGGATGGGCTGGAGGAAACTTATCCCCAAAACTCTGTCCTAGGGGTCCTGCTCTTCCTGCGGCCCTCTCAAGGAGTCCTGGAATGCTGGCATGGCCTGGGCTGAGAGGGGATTTAAGGATCATCCCGTCTGCTTGCCAACAGCAATTCCAGATTCTGCTTCTGGAACGCTCATAATTCCAGGTTCTGGGATAGTTGTTAAACCAAACCAGGCTCGCTGTATGCGTTTAGTGATGAACAGTTAGTCCTGACCACTCCTGAGCATTCCTAGGATACGATGGAATATGATTGGAATGTGATTCATTCCATGTTTCTGGCTTTTGGTGGCGCAGACGCGAAGGGTCCAGGCAGGACAGAGGAATTCCATAGGGAATTCCAGGGGGTAGATGGAGACTACTTGCACGGGGTTGGCGGGAAGGAAATAATGGAGAAGCTGCACACAGGAGATACGGAATCATTGGGAAATTTATCCAGGAGAAGCGTGAAATCTGGAAGAGGCGAATCCAGGAGCCAACAAGGATGGATGTGCGGGCAGCGGGGAACACGAACATGGGAAAACACGGAGCGGGGACCAGATCTGAGCGCATTTTTGGTGGAAAACCTCAGGATTCTCACGCTAATTTGGGATTTCGGGAGAATCGCTGACTCTGGAGACCAAAGGCCACCAGAGCGGGCAGGGAATGGGAGGGAAAAGCCTCGGGGGAGGGACACATGGGCAGGCCCGGCTGGGAGGGGCCACTCGGCCCTTCCTCTTCCCGTTCCCGTTCTCCTGCCCCTTCCCCTTCCCGTTCCCGTTCCGGTTGGGTTTAGCCCCGCCTCCGGTCCCGCCTCCCGGGCCGGGGTCACCGCGGCGCTTCCGCCGAGGGCCGGGCCTGTGCCGGAAGCGCGTGCGGGAGAGGCGGCGGGACCCCCCCGGTACCCCCCGGTACCCCCGGGACCCGCGGGGCCCCCCGGCCGCCATGGCGGGGCAGGAGCAGGTAGGAGCCGGGAGCTGGCGGGGAGACCCCCGGGCAGCCCTCGCCTCCGCCCCCCCCCCCCCATCACCCCCCAAAATCCTCATCACTGCCCAAATCCCCATCAGCCCCTAAAAACCCCCATTCCATCCCCCTAATCCCACCCCGATCACCCCCCACCCCAAAACCCCCATCACTGCCCAAATCCCCATCAGCCCCTAAAAACCCCCATTCCATCCCCCTAATCCCACCCCCATCACCCCCTCAAAATCCCCATCACTGCCCAAACCCCCATCAGCCCCTAAAAACCCCCATTCCACCCCCCTAATCACCCCCCACCCCCCCAAAATCCCCATCGCTGCCCAAATCCCCATCAGCCCCTAAAAACCCCCATTCCATCCCCCTAATCCCACCCCCATCACCCCCTCAAAATCCCCATCACTGCCCAAACCCCCATCAGCCCCTAAAAACCCCCATTCCATGCCCCTAATCACCCCCCACCCCAAAACTCCTGTCAACTCCCCACATTTCCCCCCCATATCCCTCCCCTCCCTCTCTCTGCCCCCTGTTCCCCCATCCTCACTGGGATGGCTCCCGAGGGATTTCCTGGGATGGGGCTCACAGGAGGCTGCTGGGAATGTCCCCCCAGCCCAGCTCCAGGTGACCTGGAGCTGTCCTGGACTATCCCAATCCCATAGGGATCACAAAATGCTCGTGGTAGGAACCGTAAAACACATCCCAAGGTGTCGGATTCCGGTGTTTGGCGCTGGATTCCAGCCTGTCCTTCTCCCAGATCCATAATTCCCAGCCCAGGGGGGAACACGCCTTCCTGGGACAGCGCCAACCATGGCCTCATGTCCTGGGAGATCCTTTGGGCTGGGAAAGGCTTCCCCTGTTGGGAGGGGAGGTGTGATCCCTGAGGGAGTATTAGATCCTTGAGGAGGGTGTGATCCCTGAGGGAGGATTAGATCCCTGATGAAGGTGTGATCCCAGAGGTAGGATTAGATCCCTGAAGGAGGATTAGATCCCTGAGGGGAAATGTGACTCTTGAGGGAGGATTAGATCTCAGTTAGATCTCTGAGGGAAGATGTGATCCCTGAGGGAGGATTAGATCCCTGAGGAAGGTGTGATCCCTGAGGGAGGATTAGATCCCTGAGGAAGGTGTGATCCCTGAGGGAGGATTACATCTCTGAGGGGAAATGTGATCCTTGAGGGAGAATTAGATCTCAGTTGGATCCCTGTGGAAAGGTG